GTAAGGACGTGAGTTCAAGTGACATGAGTGACGAGTTACTGACCCTGGACGGTCGAGTGTAGTCACAAATGGATGTTGTCTTTGAGGATAATGAGGTACATGCACCTAATGACGAGGTACTAGCTCAAGAGGGTCGGGTGAAGTCATCAATGGATGTTATCTTTGCGGATAACGAGGTGAAAGCACCTAGGGACGAGTTACTGGCCCGAGAGGGTCGGGTGAAGTCAAATATGACGGTTGTCTTTGAGGAAAATGAGGCGCGAACACCTCATGACGAGGCATTAACCCATAGGTGAAGGCGCAGAAGAAGGCATCTGTGCCTTTACATGCTCGACTAGAGCTTTGTTATATTCATCAAGCATGTGAATACGCTTGTTAACCTCTTCTTCGCCCTGGGCGATGAAGTACCCCACGCCCTTAGTGCCAAGGATAGGGAGCAGCTTCTACAACTCTTCCTATTGTGCCTGTGGCAGGCTAACTGCTGGCATCTTATCGATGTCCATTCTCACACAGAGAAGTAGCCGCAAACCCAGGTGCAGGGATTGACTACAAGTGCTACCAGGTGTAGCCGACCTAGCTACGCTAATTATGCACTATGTGCAGATGCACTATGTGCAGAAGATCTAGTCAAACTACTGTACCAAAGCTACTTATGCGCTACGTGCTGAGGAAGACAAGCTCAGAGAGCTTTTACGTCTTAGGGTGCTTAACCCTTCCTAGGCTAGCTCGTAAGCTTGTGCCTATCGGTCTTAACAACCGAGTATCAAAGAGACTAGTATCAAAGATACTGATTCCTTAGAAGGAATAGTACGCTCAAGCTGTAAGGCTTACAGAGCAGGTTTGAAACTGATTTATATTTATGTATATCTTCTTACACTAAATATAGAAGCACCTACTCTATACTTAGTGCTAGTCACTATTTACTGGCTCTTTAACTTGTTATTATTATGCAACATGCATAGTCAGTATACTTTAAATAAGTATAGTGACCACGTGGCTCTCTGCCACGATGCGACCCTTCGTACTTCAGGTACGGTCACATCACCTACTTTGTACCCAAGGTACAGCCACACCACATTGGTGTGGCAGGTATGTATGTACAATACACACCTTCGTGTACCCCGTTACACGATTCCTGGGCCTAAAATTACTGTTCTGGCCTGTCACTGCTGGCCTCCGCCCACTAAAGTCACACGTCATCACGGCCCGATTATAGACTTTGTGTGGGGCACACGCGACGGGGAACGCTCGCGCCCGTGGATACCAAAAGAGGTGGCCGTAATACCTTTCCAATCGGGTGAGTCAGCGATACCATGTATTCAAATAGAACTGATGACTATGGCGGCGACAGTGTCGGACAATGGGCGGCGAATGTTTCTGTAAGAAAGGATAGACGTTAGTTGTTATAAGTGAAATAGGCTCTGTGTTCCTCCCTTACCTTTTTCGCTCTTGCTGTGCTAGCTAGCTGCGATCTCATTGCACCAACCACTCTTTAGCGTCGCCTTCGGCTCTCCAGATACCTCTTCGCTGCCTCCCATGCGTCGCCTAGCGCTAAGAAAAGACGAGTCCTTTCGCGTCGCCAAAAAGTGCTATACGACTAGAAATGCAATTTCTTACAATTTCTAGCCGGAAATTAGTCATAGGTGACGTTCTCTGGGGCTCCATTGAAGCGGGTTCGTTGTATATCACGCCGTGCTGGACTACAGACGGACATCTTCGGCTGAAGCCGTCCCTATGACTGACTGGTGCTGCCGTGGTCGGGCTATCGGCAGCTCATAATGTCCGCCAGGGAGATGCAGGAGCGGTCCATCGCCGCCTGCTGCACGTTAGCGTACGTAAAGTCTCGGATGCACTGTGCTACTTAAAAATTGTTATTAGTAAAGTCGGTAGGGGGCAGAGCATTGACTTTTTTTGGATGCTTGGTCAGCTCGAAAGTTTTCAATTCTTCACACATCGCGTCCTTCCAACTTGCACACTTGGCACTGCGCATTGCGCATTGCATCAGCTTATTTCTTTGAATCACGTTCAAAAACGTGACTCACAACGCTTGAATCTTGTATCGGCTCCTCCTGACATAAGACTTCTTCTGCGTATCTTGACCTTGAGCGCGTGCAATGTGCATCTTTCGTACACATTTTTTCGTAGTTCTCTTATCTTCAATGATTGTCTTTGCACCACTTGCACTTAACGTCAGTGAGGGCGCCGCTTGGTCATAAATCGCCAAAACTGTCTGCAATTATATATTTTAACTTCTGATAGTGTCTTGATATCCGTTACATATTGTGTTCTAGCAACCTTGTTTTCCTTCTGCAGGTCGGTGACGAAACAAAACGAAACCCTTTGTTTCGTCACCGACCTCGATAATTACTCCGACCGCAGATCGCTGCTGGAACAAGTCCTCGCGCGGATCTCTTTACACAAAGCAGATGCTTTTGGAGACGACCATGTCCCGAAGATCTGGTCCATGATATGTCAGGATTTTGATTACAGAGGCACGTTCTTTGCTCGCTCGTGTCGGACTCCTGTTGAGGATGTACATTGCGTACTCAACAACATCCCCGTAGAACTTCAGCGGCAGTCGCGGTAATGTAGTCGGTTGTTGTGTTTGAGGCAAAGCCGAAGATAATATATTCTAAGGTTGATGCTGTATCTCCACACCTTGAGCGATGAAACCAAGCGCCTTTGCGTCACTAACGAGCCACGCCTAGGTGACCTTGTTCTCGGGCTTCACAACCTCAACATGCGCCAGTAGACCCTTGCGTTCCAATGTCATGCACATGTTATATTCCCAGTGGAAATTATTCTACTCCCGAGGAGGAATTCGGCGCGTTTGGATGTCATATCTTGAGCGTCAGTCGGTGGTCATGCTGCTGTTAACCTGATAAGTAGTTGGTTATTGTGTTGGAGGCAAAAGCCGAAGTAAATATATTTAAGGTCCTTAGTTCACTACCATGAGCCTTCTCTAAGCCTTTATGTAACGCTGTTCCATGGCAATCAACTGAAACTGCCATAAAGCTCCCTGATGATTTATCATACAAATCATCATCCTAACAACATGAAACGTTGTAATATTAACAAATCGACTTGCAAAGATCTTAATTCGCGCCATATTTGGTATAGTCCAATGCATGCGCTCAGTCTTGACATTTGACGTTTGGTTTCTTGCTTCGCTGACTTGACGCGCAACTCCATTGAGCTGACAGAATAGGTCAGCGTCATTTTATTCGCCACCTCCATCAGTACTTAATACGCGAAACTTGCAGTCGAACCTCTTCTAGAAAGTATTTAAACTTCTTAGCTGTCATGTCCTTTGTTGACGCCAAGAAGGCGTGGTAATAGTCATGATTGTGGTAGATAAAGCTGACAAGGTACCGATTTCCAAGTCTATCCCTTGGTGTCAGGGTTTTAGGTCTAAGCAAATCACACCGCCAATTCGGTCGATCAAAGCATGCATTCCACTGTCGGACTACGACTGCTTGTTCTTCGTCTACTTACCTTCTTTGCAAGAGTTGCACATCGTTCTATCATGACCGGTAAGTTTAATCCCAGATCCTGGTACCTTCGACATTCGCTCGATCGTGTCACGACATAGATGACCATCCTAGTGTGAAAGTGCATCAACGATCCACGCTGCAAATCGCCATCTGGTGCGCTTGATCTCACATTGCAGATCACAGACATGAGAATGTCCGATGGTTCTTCTTGACGAGCTTCTGTCGCATATGTCTGCACGTACGGCACGTTCGTGTGCATAAAGACGTCGAAAACGATTTGCATCCTCGCTGCGTCGGACGAGCGCAAACTCGATCCGTTGTACACCAAAACGAAACCTTTCTACTCCAGTTTTACCTACGAGAATATGTTGTGTGCAAGCTGCGTCGCCAAGCAAGCTTTCGTCGGCTTGATGGTTTTTCTTCTCATTCGCGATGACAGGTAAGCGCACGATTCCGCGTTTTGTTATCTTGAGTGACGTCCCATCTGTCATGCAGACTTCATGGTCGTAGATGTCGATTTTCTTGCATCCATGAAAAGTCTTTAACTAAGTGTCGACTCGATCCACTATCCAGAATCTAGTAGTCGCTCCAGTCACTGTTGTCGACGTCCTCAACCGCTTTCACGGTCACAGCTGCCGACTTGCGCTCTTTCCCGACGCGCGTCCCGCGCTTGCGCGATTCAATTTCGCCAATCGAGAGAACCATATTGTGCATGCTGATAATGTGGTGCCCGCCTTTTCCTTTTTTGACAGCGCCTTTCCCCTTCCCACGACAACCGCTTGAATGGTTTTCGCCTTTCCACAGCTAAAGCTTTTTGGCGTATCTTGACGATGTGTAAAGCCATAACATGCGTGGCGACGATCTCAAGTCCAACTGACGTGCTCTCAAGCTTGATTGACGTTGCAAAATGAGTCAGCTCTTTGGCATGTCGTAAGTAGTCGGTACGCGTCGGGTCGTACTTTGCTATATGAGCTCGGGCAAAGCGTGGTGCACACTCTCAGTCCTGAAAAAGTGAGTCTCCATTGACGTTGCAAAATGAGTCAGATCTTTGGCATGTCGTAAGTAGTCGGTACGCTTCGGGTTGTATTTTGCTATATGACATATATGAGCTCGGGCGAAGCGTGGTGCATAATTCAGTCCTGAAAAAGTAAGCCTGCACCGCCTCTTGCATCACTGACCGCAACCAGGTACAGCAAATGCTTGGCCTACAATCTCTTTGCGTCCTTCGTTTGCCCATAGGAGTTTCATCGACTGCCTAGCCGTAATCGTTGCCTGGAACGTCTCCGATAGGCGTCTCATAATGTTGTCGAGTGTTGCTTGCTAGTTCCACCAAAAGTTACCTTGATTATAATAGTACCTTTCGGTCGTACCAGCGAGGTAGTGATCGAGCAAATCCACATTAACATCTTTGCTCCAGCGAAAGCCACAGGATGCTTCGGCCATATAGACCTGTCTCAGAAATGTCTTTCCCCAGTCGTAAAAGCCAGACCCCAACCCACGATAGAGTCAAGTGCAGTCAAACTTGCGAATCGTAAGCTTCCGCTGAACTGCCGTAGGTGTCGCAAAGCACAGGCCTTCTTGATGGCGAGCTGGCGCTATAGGTGTTGGCGATGAGGCACATTGATATTTACAGCGCACGCATGCCCTGTTGGTGATATGATATTGGTGATAGTGTCACAAGAGATGAGAACTACGATTCTCCAAGATCAGATAGTGGTACAGTTGCTCATGATTGACGAGATGCTGGTTGCGCTCTTGAGAGTCCCTCAGCATATCGATTTTCATCGTCTTTGCGCCTATGTTCGCACCAAGCGCTGATGGAAAGAGTCCGCTCTCTATTGCGTCGCACATGCGCTCATCCTCGTCAGCTTCCTTCTGGAAAGACACCATCATGTGCATGCGATCTGAAAGGGCGGCAAGGGCCGCGAGGATCTTATCTTTTATTGCCATGCTCCTTTCTTGAATCAAACGACAGCTAACGCTCGCGGTGGCGTTGCCGCACGCAATAGCGATGCAGCACGTCCCGGCGAGGTCCTTGCGTGACCTGCTGATGCCGGTTTGACATTCGTGTCGTTTTGTCCAGTCATTGGGCTTGTACCTGTTGTATAAAGCTAATTGGATGAGGGTAAATTTGATTCTGTCGTTATTGTTGCCTCTCTTTGCTTACACCTGGTAGCACTTGTAGTCAATCCCGCACAAATTATTGTCACTGTTTACCAGCTATTGTACTGTTTACCACATATCCCACTTGTTACTAGCTCCTTTCTATACCACTGTAGAAGATCACGATTATACGCAGCCATACCGAACTGATAGCCGCTCCGTTGCACGCATATTAGCCTTCTGCAAAGCTCAGCTTCAAAAACTTTACCTTATTCAACAGTACGCTGCCAGGTAATGTTGGGTGTTGATGTTGGGCGTTGATGTTGGGCGTTGATTTATCAGTGCACTAGACAGTATCATAAGCGTAAGAACACATGAATAAGATAGCGTGAAGAGATAAGCAAGTAGTTTGTTTGATCAACGGTGAAAGCTACAAAATAACAACTTTGTCATAAGCCTGGACTTCTAATTACTTTAACGTCCCACTCCACTGCTTTCACCCCCCCCATCTTCAGATATTCTTTGATATTCACTTGTCCCAAGTAACTAAATCCGTTCAAGTGTTGTATCATAACTCTCACTTCTTTGTCTCTCGACTCATACCATCGTCTTTCCAAGCCTATCGTCAATATGTCTTCCTTCACTTCCAAGATTCATCACTACCAAACAAACAAGTCGTTTTCGGACGAGTTTTTACGCCAAGTACCCAAGGCGGACCTACACTGTCATTTAGATGGCTGTTTGCGTCCTCAGACGCTCATTGATCTGGCCATTCAGCAAGGCGTAGAACTTCCTACGTATGACGCTGAACAGCTCAATCGGGAGGTATTTAAAGAAAAGCATGAGTCATTGGAAGAGTATCTTGTGTGCTTTTCGTACGCGACAGCAGTGCTAAGAACCAGTGATGCGCTCGAGCGCGTTAGCTACGAACAGGCGTGTGACCAATTTGCATTGGGCGTCCGCTATTTTGAGACCCGGTTTGCTCCACAACTAAATACGGTGCCAGGTGAGTTGTCGCTTGAAGACGTTTTGCTCAGTGTCAACCGTGGCTTGAAACGGGCCACGGACGAGTTTAATGCAAAGGATCCAGACGTGGTTTCCGGTCTGGCGCCTCCTTTTGCTTACGGCATCATCGTGTGTGCCATGAGGTTTTTTACGGCAGCGCTTTCGCCCTACTACGAACAATTTTGCAGCGTGCATCGTCACGAAGACCCACATCGACTGTACGGACTGGCGTCCATGGCGTTGATCACACAGGCCTACGCGACCAAGATAAAGTATGGAGTGCCAATTGTGGCTCTGGATATCGCAGGGGCGGAAAGAGGATACCCAGCTCATGATCACATGGAGGCATTCACCTTTGCACACAAGAAGTTTCTGCACAAGACGGTGCATGCAGGGGAAGGTTACGGTCCAGAGAGCATTTTTGAAGCGATTACGGACCTGCATGCGGAGAGAATTGGACATGGTCTGCATCTATTCCGTTATGATACAATCGAGAAGCCTGATCTGAACGACGAGCAGCGTAAGGTGTACTGTCACGATCTTGTGCAGTATATTGGCAATTCACGCACGTGTCTCGAGGTGTGTTTGTCCAGCAACTTGCAGACTCAGCCAGAATTGGAAAGTGACGCCAGGAACCATCCACTGCGTCACATGCTGACAAGCAAACTTGCTGTGAGTCTTTGTACTGACAACTGTACAGTCTCTCATACGGATATGGTGCGGGAGGTACGATTAGCTTGTGACGCCTTCCAGTTGACCCCGCATGAGTTGCGTGAAATCCTGCTGACGGGATTCAAGCGCTCATTCATGCCCGGGGATTACGCAGAAAAACGTGCCTATACCCACCACGTGATCGACTACTATGACCACATCATTCAAAAATTTGGAATCCATGACACAAGCACGAGCAAGTCGGGGTAACCTTGATAGAATGATCGAGTAGCCGTCACAACAACGTGGGTCTGCAATTAGCTTTGTTTTTGATTGCATTGCGTAGTCACGTGTTGCATTACTTTTGATGCATCTCTAGTTCGAATTTTGGAATGATGCCATGTAGTGAGTGAATCGTTCAAAGCACAAGTCCATTTGAATCGTGAAAATATGCTGAAGTTAGCTGAAGAATAGTGTTACCAAATCGTACGTGGATGGAACGAGTTTGTATGTTTGTATGAGAAAGTAACGTTTCTTCAGGACGTGTGTAATGCTGTCAAAACTTGTTGTCCCATGCATGTCAGTCGCAAAACTATCTGCTGCAATTACAATCAAAGTATAGAAGGCAAGTCTAGCCCACAAGACACGCGAATACACAAAACACACATGCGTGGGCGTAAAAGGCAGCATCCATCTTTGCTACGTATTATTTGCCCTAGAGTGTACGCCTCGGCTCTTGTCGTTGATCAGTATTTTGCAGACAGAGGCGCGTTGTGGTACAATGATGAAGGACTATCGCATGAGTACTCGACACCTTCTTCGGTCGTAGACTTCACGTAACGCACACGGCCTTCCATAGCATCCACAGAAATACTAAGGCCTACAGGCAACAGCACAGCACTGTTTAAACAAGCACACACCGCTGCAGCAAACAACGTTTGGAAAAAGCAGTAGCCAGCAGGCCCAAACACAGGTGTTGGTATCAAGGCAAGCGTAGTAATGACAACGAACTTTGCAAAGGCGACACCAAGCACCCAAGATGCCAGCACTTCAGTCAACACTTTCTTCACACAAGCATCGCCCATTAGAGAGTTGCCCGAATCGTCCGTTATCATACGAGCCTTGACAAACGAGCGGATAAAGTGTCCAGACGATCCCACAGAAAAAGCAAGTGCGATCGATAGACTCACAATTGTAAGCGCGTTTAGAGGCACATGCATCGGCACCATCAGACCAGCAACCTGGACCACGGTGACTGCCGCGACAAATGCTGTCGCAAAGCCATACCAGCAGGATCCAAGGGCTGCGCTCTGTAGCACGAACACAACGACGAGACCAACACCCACGACAATATACGCCGTGCGACGAACAGAGTGGAATTGATCTAGGAAGACGTACTCTGGTGAGTATACCCAGACGTCAATGCCCGTCTCTTCGCTGATCCACTTTGCAATATACCAAGCCTGTGAATATGCCGTAATTGCCCCTTCCTGGCTGCCTGAAACTGCAGACGGGTCCATCGTGGTGCTCATTACCATATACGCAAACGCGGTGATATTGTCGCCGTATCCAGTGCCCTTAAGCGTTACGTCCATAGTAATATTGCTACCCATAGCAGGAATGGCTTGAGTATCAAAACTAAGCTGTCCATGGTAGTGTGTGCCTGTAGCGTACGAACAGAGTGGACCAGCAGCTGCCGTCGAGAACATGCTAAGCAACAACATGAATGATTCTTGTGGTACAGACAAAACCTCACTTCCATTCCCCAAACATGAAGTTAAGCCGCGTTCGGAAACAAAATACGCAACGCGAGGCTCAGCTGAATGTGAAGGATTGTACAAGTAGCCGTTTTCCGGGTCAACACGGCAGCATTCATTGTCTGGATCAATATAGCCCCAGAAATCATCCAGCCATGAGCCAACAACTGTACCATCTTTAAAATGGGTCACGTTGCTCGCACCATCTACTACAAGAGTGTTGAGGACGTTTGGGATTGACAGATCGGAGCAAAACTCCTTTGAAGTGCACAACAGGCTCTGAGCCTTTGCATCATTAGCGAGGCTGTTAAATCCATCAGGATTCCTACCGTAACTAGCTTCAACCACGAAATAGACAGGAAAATCGTTGGCTAACAAGTCCATATCATCGACTGCACGGTAGTATGCTTGCAAATACGAGTTCGATGAAATAAATGAGGTCGGTGAAAGACCACGATCCATTGCTTCAACAGAAGCGATCGCCACAAGTGTACACGCAGCAAAGACGAAAAGCACAAGTACCTTTGACAACTTCGTCAACAACACCTTGACGTAGCCACTGACGCAGCGGTCTATCAAATTCATATCAAACACGAAATGCAAGCTCCCTGGAAATGACGAGCTTTCAGTCGCCTCAGTATTGTCATCTTCAGAAAAACGAGAACGGCCGGTGAATAATACGCGTTTGCAGCAGATCACATCGTACGTCCCGCTTAGCTCGCGACGTTTGTCAAGCGTAACAATCGCAAGGAACAAGGTCATCTGCAAAGCGATGCTGGCGGCAATACCTAAGACCAACGAGCCAGCAAGCCACTGAGCGGCTGCCATTGCCGAATATGCCGCAATAGCAACAATGCAGCACTCGCACGTAGCAGTCAGGATCATACTGGGACCAACATAACCTGTGGCCTCACATAGGAGCACGCACGTAATCTCGTGGATGCCGAAATTGTTGTCTTCCAGCCCAACAAAAAGTGACCGTTGCTCCATCTTCAGCTCATCTTGTTTCAAGTCGACGGCATGAAGAATCAAGAAGACATTCCCAGTGCCAATTGCAAACACAACCAACGGCATTACGATAAGAGTCACAATCTGAAGTTTCGTGCCTGTCCATGCAATCATTCCCAACGTCCCAACTACTGCCATCAGGCTACAGGCAACACCTATGAACCCCACAGCTATTTTAGACGAATGGAAGAAGCGGCAGTTTAGCTTCCAGCGATTCAATCCGATCATGACATAAACAATCATAATGATGAAGCCTGTGATTCCTGTCTTGAGTACAATGTTCAAATTCGAAGCACTTGCAAATTCATCGTCTGTAGACGTCTCAGCGGCATAATAAATGTCAAATAGCGCGTTCATCTCCGCTTCTTTCTTCATTCGCGCAATAAACGCGCGCTCCCAAGCGATTGCATCCGTTTTCTTAGCTGCATCGTGATAATCAATCACTGCAGTAGTCGAAAAGAGTGTAGTTGCTTGCTGAAGGTAAGAATTTGCATCCAAAAAGTCATCCCTCGTGGTAAATCCGCCAAGGTACCTTTTCAACTCGGTCATAGGAGTGCCAAACGATGACATACACGGGCAATTCCTCATACTCGCAGGAAGCGACGAGCCCGATGCATTGAGCTGCACTCGCAACTCACTGCATACGTCCACGTCTGCTTGCTTCGGAGCAATCGCACAGTTTCGTAAATGTTTTTCAACCAGGTCATACGTCTCATACATCTCGAAGTGCTCCATATTGTTCTGAAAGTACTGTGTAACCGCATGAATCTGGCAACGTGAAGTCGAAGCATCCTTGACGCAGATATCGCTCAGCGTAATACTACCCGATGATACTTCGTTAGCAGCTATTTGCTGTAAACGGACCGCCTCCTTTAAGTATGGCGTCCTCGTCACCACACCACCGTCCTTCGCTGCAAGAACTAGTCGCTCCACACGATCGGGAAGCCCAAACATCTTATCAAACCGTGACCTCTCCTGATAGACTGTGCTACTTTTCGACACCCACAGCTTTGTTGTGTCAGTTTCCACTTCCAATCGAATCAACCCACTCGAGCAGCAGGCTACTATCATTAACGAAAGGAGAATGATGTACACTGGATGATTTCCCATGGCCACAAAATCTCCCCAGCGTTTTAATCGCTGCGTCACCCAGTCGTCCCAGCGTCCAATGCCTTTAAGCTGATCCAAATTCACCTGCAACAGCATTTGACGACCCATTGAATCGTTAATGAAGTCACTCAAAACGGACTGTCGCATCTTTTTGCCGTACCGAGCAGAGTAGGCAAAGCCGAGCGCTAGTGCAGTTGCCACGAAGAATGCAAGCACAGCTAGAATGTAATTTAGCACCACAAAGTTACTACCTGTAGGACGAGACGACAAACCCAATAGCAAGGATTCAATCTTGCCTGCAGCACTTGAGCTACTGCGATTGAGTGTGGTGCTGGTGCTGAAGGAACTTGAATCATTAAATGCCACGGTGTTGTTAACGCTGTAACAGGCTGAGAAGTATTGACGGCTGTCATCAGCGTTTACAGCACACAATGAGCCGCAAGTATCCACACACGATTCAAGTCGCGTATTCATCGGCACAAAGCAGCCAGTCATGTTTGTACTGCCACAAGCACAAATCTTCTCGACCTGTTCAGCCATCGAAAGTTGCTCCATCGTAATGAAATTAACTTGCGACGGTGATCCCATATTGCCAAAACTGTACGCACCCAGGTACTCCAACATGTTCGAACCTGTCGTCGAGCAGTTATCCTCCGTGCCACAAACTAGCGGCATAAATCCTATGTCGGCCTCACAGAAGTCGTGAAGGTCGCGCACCATGTCTCTACCCACGTAATATGTGGCCTCCTCAATTGCAGGGAAGACCTCCTCCGCGTGATCCGAATCCCCCTCCATAAGCCGCACCTGGGTCACGTCCACAAACAAACTATTGCTAGGGTGACACGTAAACTGGCACCACAAATTTCGTATGTTCTCTTTGCAAGACGTGCACTTTCCTGGCAGCTCTTGGGCCTGCAGACTTAATATCTCGTACTGCGCTTCTGTGCAACACAGCAACTCCTGTCCTTCTCCAATCACCGTCTCATTATACAGAATTGGGCAGTCTGCCTGGAATTTTTCCTGGTTGGTACTGGACCATGCAAAGAAGTTATTGGCAAAACCTTGTGCGTTGGCCTCCTTCACTCCAATGGGAAAGAACTGGGCCGGCAGCGCTGCTCCAGTTGAACCGTTTACATAGGCAGCATCGAATGCCGTGCAGTATTGTGCTGCACGCCGATATTCTCCTAGTACAGAGATACTCGTCACGTTGTCAAGACATTCATCTTTTCCTGAGTATTTACAGGTCGTGAGCTGTTGCTGCAGCGCAAAGAGGGCTGCAATTTCAGTGTCAAACGTCGTCTGGGCTGCTGCCACTGTTTCACTTTTGAGACTGCGGGAGTTGGACGTAGTCTGAGCTTCTCCTCTTCCTCCCCCTATCACGACACTGTTAATGATAGGCAACATGGCGAGCACAAAGAGCGACGAGGTCCAAAGCTGCGGAGGATAAAAGCCGCTGCCTGCAATCTCGCTGGTCGTGCTCTTGACCCGCAGCATGAGCGCACGTCGTTTGGTCCTACGCTTCCACAGAATATGAGCAAGCGCCTTCTTTTCTGCAAAGGTGTCTTCATGCAAATTAGACTGTTGCTGTTTGCTTGCGATATGATGACTGTGTAAAAAGCGTCGGCCATGAAAGACAAGTGCCAGCAGTAGAAAGAAGATAAGACCAGCAGAGACGAGTTGAAGATACGTAAAAAAGACGATGGAGAGCTCAGCAAATAGACCTTCGAGCCACGACCGGAAGCACGGAGTTGCAATTGCGAGGCTAATGGCCGCAAATAGCCACATCCTGTCAAGGGCTCCAATAACGAAATGATGTCATAGAGAGAGCACCTATTTATCGAGGATAGAAAAAAGCCAAAAGATGCTCTGTAAGCGCAGAGACAGGGTGAGAGGTCACGTTTCTGTAGATTCATAAAGCAGCATATACGTTTTGCTCCCTCTGATCTCTTATAATTAATAAATAATGCTGGATCAGTCATATTTTGGTAGAAATTGAATCTGGAAGAGATGGAGCTGAAAAAGTTACCTCTCTCATAACTGATTGCAAACGTGTTTGAATATAAATATCATGTTAGTAAAGGGTTTGTTTGGGCAGATGGTCCACATCAGTTGACTTAATGTCTGTGCTTTAACCGTTGCCACAAAATGTGAGAGTGACAGGTGTAACGCTCGTTTTTCATCAACATTTAGTCGAGCTTGTAGCTTCCGAAAAGCACATACATGACAATCCTGAACAACCAACCAAGCATTGCACAAAGTCGTAGTTTCATCAATACAGCACTGCATGAAGAAGAAAGCCGTGAGCTTGAGAAGATAGTGGTGTAAATCTGTCCTGTAACCAATTTGCCACCGAGAAAAGGAATTTGCAGTGGATGAGCTATTAAAATTGAAAAAAAGAAGCATCCCGGATGCAGACAAAGAGACGTAATGAACAAGGAAGACCTTGTCCCGAGATGTGTATTGCATCTGATCCTGCAATAACGTCTGCTTTAGCTGTCTGGTACAGTGTTCAAGATTGTCAAGAGATTCATAACTCTCAATGAGACGATTTTGCTTCAAGCGAACTGAACTTATTTATATCTTGCAACGTCAAGTGATCGTCACACAAGGACTACTACTAATAGTGCACCATCAAGACGACGTTACAAGAGCGCTTAGCTGCTATTGCTTTATATGATTGAGGCGAGTAAAACATTTGCCAACCATCAACTCTTTAAACTAGCATCTGCTCATGACAATCTACCCAACTGTTTTTACGGCTGTCGGTACTACTTGCTGCAGTAAAAGTACTGACACAGATGACGAGACTTGCAGAGCGCAGACGGTGCCACGCTCTCAGCGTGTACAATTCCCGTAGCTCCTTGGTCGTTTGCGGAGGTGGCTCCATCTAAATAACACTGCAGTATACGCGGCGGAAAGCATCGGTGCTGCTAACGACGCACAACATTTCATGCACGCATCTGTAGGATTGTCTAACCGCTTATGACCACCGGCACCTCCTAAGCCACATCTTCATATTCGATCTTTTTCTTGATGAGCCGTCCGCAACACAGCGACGGTGCGCTAATCGACCTGAGCCGGCGCTCGCCGGTGCTAACCATTTGCGCTCGACCTGAAATGAGAAATTGGTAGCAGTCTTGCAGCCCATGTCATCCCACAAACGCAAATACTGTCTTCCATGAGCACATAGCAGCGTCCAATAGCGTTCAGTTCATCGACATTTTCTAGGAATTCGTTCTCCATCATCCTCTGCTTTGCCAAATCTTCTCTGCGGCGTCTGCAGTCTTACCGCATTTGACATTGCTACGCAAAGTGGAGATAGTTCGGTATAATCTTGTTGGTGTTGCTGGTGGATAAAAGCAGGTCTGCATAGGGCAAGGCCGTCGAAACCCTGCAAATAGTTTTTAGATTGACAGCAAACAGCACGCGTGGCATCCGGCATGAACGTAGGCTTCACACGTGCAAACAAGCCCGTTTGAGGCAAGGAGAGACTCTCGACACTCTAGTGTTGGGCGGTAGAAGAATTGTCGTGGTCGATAACAGAGCGTCTCCAAGTGCGGATAGCGATCATTTACAGCGTCAAGCCAATCATGGACGTATGACACTGATGATTGTATGACACTGCAGGCGGACATGTAATTGTGTTTCATGCAGCAGTCAGACAGCAAGTGCGATCCTCCAAGGTTTTCTATTCGTGCGAGTTGGTATTGAGTCCGCAGCCATCTGCTCATTCGAGTAGGCTACAGGGAAGATGTCTGGTAATTGCCGACGCATTTATAAAGCTCTTTTGTAGTGCGTTGTACGTGTAAAGTCCATGACTTCATTCAGAGCGTCAGCATCGCGCACATGAATGGTCATAAAACGTAAGGACGCACCGTGCTCGGTCTACCTCTTCAAAACCGTCAATCGTCTTTTTATGATGCTTACCACCATATGACGACGTCCCTTATTGTCGTGCAACCAGCCATGAAGATACAAGGACACTTGGCCCAGTGTTCTCGCAATAACAGCGATGGTGTGATGGTGGACGCGTTACCCGAAGCGATAGCTACAGCTGACCAACGAATATTGATTTGGGGGTTTGTATGGTTGACATAATCGACTACTCGAGAGCAACAACGGTGTGGCCTTGGAACTGGGTTACATGCGTCACTTGCATTTTCAACGCTCTATTTGTTTAAAGGACTTGCCTGATTTAAGAACACGCTTGCTTTTAAAACGCACCACCTTGCTTGCTACTTCTGTACTTCCTGCAGTTTCACTCACTGCCCTCCTCCAAAACGTCAAGTGTCCTTGATAGAGTGCCCACATTTTCGGAAAAAAACAACAACATGCACATGCTTCATCCCCACAGCTCTCCAGCATTCACTTTTGGCAGCAGCAACAGCTTTTTGACTTTGCTATACCTAAATATACGGAGTAGACGACACATCGACCTTCGACTGCGATGTGTTGGAACCAAACGACATCGTCGGTGCCTCGTACGTAAAGCCTGTGAACATGCTCTTTGGCAACCCAGAACCACCAGCAGATTTACTTAGTGGTGTGCCGCTCACAGGTAGCTCTGTAAATTCCTTGTCAAAGTTCGACGTGTCTCCTTCTTCCTTCGACTGCGGGTTTGACGGCTTAAATGGCGGTTCAGCCCATAACAGACCGTCCCAGTCCACAGTGCAAAAGAAACGGTGGACTTTGACGTCGCTAGCACTACGACTGCCCAGACGTTTCTCGGGTTTGCGGTGAAGTAGTGATTGGATGAGCGAAGCTGCGTCACGACTCAAATAGTTGGGGATCTCGAGTGGGGCCTCACGAATGCGTGCAAACAATTCTTGACGATTACGAGTGTACCAAGGAGGCAAACCCGTTAGCATCTCATACAGCACCATACCAAGTCCCCACCAATCCACCGCCGTCCCATGACCCTTACGAGCCAGCACTTCCGGTGCCAGATACTCGGGTGTCCCACATAACGATAAAGCCCCACTACCAATTTCCGTGACCTCGTCTTTTGCCAGTCCAAAGTCTGCTAACTTGATATGACCCAACTCATCAAGTAAAATGTTTTCAGGTTTCAAGTCACGATAGACAACACCAAGTGAGTGTAAATGTTCCAGTGCAACAACAAGTTCAGCAGCATAAAATCGCGCCATCTCTTCGTCAAACTTGCCCATGCGTGAAAGATGAAAAAAGAGTTCTCCACCTGGACAATAATCCAAGACAAAATAAAGCTTAGCTGGAGTTTGAAAAGCATAGTGTAGACCCACAATAAATGGATGACTTGCGACACTAAGTACACGACGTTCTGTCTTGGTATGTTCCACTTGTTTTCGCTTCAGCAAGTGAGATTTGGTTAAGATCTTCATTGCAAACACTTTACTATTGTTTTTCTTGCGCACAAGTGTCACTTTTCCAAATGATCCTTTTCCAATGACACGAATGAGTGTAAAATCTTCTAAACAAATTTTATCATCAAAATTCGTGTTTTCAACCAGTGCATTGAATTCTTTAGTCAAGGAGGAAGACGCACTAGTGTCACATCCAGTTGTTGTTTCAATCGGTAAACTCATGTTCTTGTTCGATTTGATAACGTCAACTAAGTGTCAAGTCTCAATGTAGCACACAGATAGACAGAATAGAGACAGACAGTGAGACCGTGAGTTCACACCAGCGAGAGACACAATAGAGCGACCTTTCAAGCGTTTTTAGTTTGGGGTTTTTGCAATTTGGTTTAAGAAACTTAGAAACGCACTTAATCGAGTCACAAGTTGTCACTTTCTTTTTGAACCCTGGTTGCAAATAGAGATTCCTACTCGTAATAGTACTATACTAATAAGGTGACTTTTTGTATTAGACCTTGATGGCCCCTCTCGCTCTCCCTCTCCCTTCTGGCTTGAATTGCAAAATAACATAGAACTATACAACAGCATATTACGTAAGCTACATAAAAATCTAAATAAAAAAATCATAAAACAACCGCATAAAAAACCAAAAAAACAACACATAAAACCCCAAAAAAACACTCCGAAACAAACCCCTCCGAAAAATGGCGGACGAATTGTATCAAGATGCTGCATCTCTGAGCACGAATTGCGTGTTTCCAACGCGCTTGACGTGGGATCAACGACGTCAATTAGCTCTAGATATCTCTAACCTGACACCACCTGATCTGTCGGGTGTTTTATTACTTCTTCGTAATTCTATGAATGTATTCGAGATGCAAGAGGTTTTACCATATAAAGAGAATGAATTAATACCATGGAATATGCAACATCAGCAACAACAACAGGAGAAGGACAATGGATTCATCGTACCAAATAAAGAGTATTGTACACCTACAATTCAAGTACAATGTCGTTTTCGATTAGATGATGCGGATGATCAACTCTTGGGTCAATTACGGCAATACGTCGATGATTGCTACATTCCACATTTTGTACCAAAAGAAAATTGCACCATATGTGAAGGTCTGTGGTCCTGTGGGTGTGTGATTTTTTGTGGTAATGATGCGTGTCCTGTACGAATTCATGAAGAATGTTTCGGTGTGATTATGAGAGAACGTCAAGATGGACCATGGCGCTGTCCTTCCTGTTTACTTGGTAAACAACTTGCATGTGCTATATGTATGCAGTATGGTGGACCACTAAAGCCTTTGGCGATTTCAGAAACTTCATCGAGTGAGGAACAAAAGTGGGTTCATGTACTGTGTGCACTTGCTATCCCGGAACTTGTGATGAGAGATGTACCTAGTATGGAACCCGTGGATGGATTTGAAGAGATTGATAATGGAAGGTTTCGGTATTTGTGCGCTATTTGTCGTAAAAGAGGTGGTGCCTCGGTCATTTGCGAGGCGGATAACTGTAATGTAGGAGTTCATCCACAGTGTGCAGCCGACGCTGGACTCATGATTGGCAATGAAGGCAACTTGCTTGGTGTGTATTGTGACAAGCATTTGCCTGCATCGCGCATTCCGGGGGCCAAGCGCTGGATTAGCGATGAGGACCTGGTGGAAGAAATTATGAGCGAGTACTCTATTGACGACGACGTTAACAATGACGAAGTAGACACGCCACCGTATAGTGATGCCGAGCGCTATGCTTTTGTACTTCAATCGACTCCGTATCTGCACTACAAGCACCAATTGCTTGGCGCTAAAGCAACGCTTCGAATTGGACCAGGGCTTTTTCCAACGACTTCTTCTACTCGATGTGATATTGATCGCAAGACATTTGCGGGCACCAAGATTACTGCAAACGCTTACACTCCACCTGCTATGGTTGTTCAGGGTATGAACACGCAAAGGCCAGCTGTTTTTCCTCCGCCAGTTCTATCTTCGAGCAAGAAGCGACTGGGTCTTCCCGAGTTTCCGAAGGGAAGACATGCGGTTGGAGCTATAGTAGATTATTTGGTCAAGGCGCAGGATAAGTGGCAACGAGCGCGTGTGTTGCAATGGGACAAGGAGAAAAAGATGCATCTCGTGCAAATTGTGGCATCCGGGCAAAAAGTGTGGGGCAAGCTGGATGCGGACAACACGTTGATATTGTATCTTCCGGGCGAAGAGAACATGGTGGATGGCCCAACGGTGAAGCTTATTCGTCCAGTGACCCAGGGCGCCGTGCAGTGGCGTCCAAGACCGCGTCAGTTTGCAGGAGCATCATGAAAAATTCGTGGTGGTGATATCAGTCTACGGATAGGAGTACGAGTAGGCGACAAGCACTCAGGAATCTAAGTATAAATTTATTTGCATTATGGTGGAAATGCCGTGGTTGCGTCGATGAAGTCTCAACTGTCGAACCACTAGCTATGATAATCAAGATCCAGGGTCCAACTGCCAGTTGAAATTCCGAGCGTCTGGTCTCAGTAGTGAAAACTTGTTCCTTCCTGCTGCCAGTTACCAAAACGCTTTGGACCCCGACAAGTGCTATTCAAAGATGTTCCGTTTGGTGTCACCTTTCTCGTGGCTCGACTCGCTGGCGGACGAAGAAGAGTTTATGGGTGGTCTTAGCGAGCGCTATCCGTCAACACGTATTTTAATTTTCCCTCAACGTGAGGACACGTCGGTGGATCAGACTCCCGATCAGGAAGAAGAAGAAGAAGAGATGGAAATAGAGGAGCCGCTGGTTGTCGAGGGGAACGAGTTGATGACCGGTGACTTTTTTGACGACCTGCCTGCTGCTGCAAAACTCATGGACACGCGAGTACCATCGAATCTTTCGCCGCCCGAATCAAAGACGAAGGACGGTTACTCGTTCTGCACGTACTCGTACAGCACGTGTCTGACGGCCGATGATAACGGCCGTCGCGTGGACAGCACACGCCGTCGCTACGAGGACTCGGCTGGGCGCCTGAAAGCTCAGCACAATCGCCGAATTGGTACATGCGCACTGGTGTCGACGTGGAAGCGTGCATCTGAACAGGAAGATGGCACTCAGGAGCAGACGGTGTCATCGGGTTCAGTTGAGGACTTTGAGAATGCGTGGAAGAGTACCCCATTTGGTGTTGCCGAAGAGCATGCGAAGGCTCAAGGTGCTAAGCATCAAAGCGTGCTTCCCGATTATCCCCAGTCTGAAGAGCTGCCGTAAAAACAGATTAATCTTGCGCGTGAAGAGAGAGAGAAGAGATGGAGATGAAGATTGCATTGTCTTGATTGCAAGCCATAAGTTAATGAAAAAGTGTTGCATTTGTACGAGTCCGTCGTGATGATTGTCAAGCAGCTTATTGCATGTGTTTCAACATCTTGTGTCTGTCTGCCTATAGTGATATTTCAGTTTCAAAATCACTTGGCGTCCTTGAACGATTGGGATGCGTCATACTGCGATGCCGTGGTGTAACATCATGACTTGAAATTTCTCACCCTCCCAATGCTTCTTCAGTTTGAATTCAGCAGCCAGAGACACGAAAGCGGGAGATGCAGAGTGTCCAGTCCACTCGTCCCATGTTTGCCACAGTATGTGCCAACAATGTCAACAGAAGCGTTGCTGTCCATGAGATTCTTCACGCCGCAGGGTTACGCGTGTGTTCCTATGGTGCAGGTCGTCAGGTGATATTTCCTGGTCGAACAAGCTCCGACTTGCGCACGTTCAGATTCCTTACACCGTACACGACCATGTACAACGCTCTTAAGAAAGAGAATGCTGCATTGTTCAGAGAGAATGGCGTGCTCGAGATCCTTGAACGGGACATCTCAATCAAGAAAGCGCCTGAGCGTTGGCAGAATCTTAGCAAAAAGCAGCTTGCTAGTATCAACATTGTCATCTGTCTAGACCACGCCATGTTCCTCACGGTGTTGGAAGGTATCATCTCTTCTTTCTACTTGGTTTTATTCTACGATATGAACAAGTCTACTTTAATCCTTGTTGTTCTTTCTTGCTCTAGATATTCAAAAGAGGATTCAATCGCATGATACAATCAAGCAGCTTCATCTCATTTGCCTAGATACAAAGGATACACCAGAGGACGCCATGACCGGTGGTAAACGTGTACTACATTTGTGTCACAAGCTGAACGTTCCATTGGATGAACTCACGGAGGAATATGTCAAGTCAGTAGTAGAGGAGTTTGAGAAGGAACATCACCAGCAATTGTATTATTTAGGGTTTCATATGTAACAACAACAACAGGCTACGAGATAGGAGAATGAGAAGAAGAGGAAGTACCATGATACTTTATCATAATACGATGTTTTTCATGCTAGGGATAGTAGTAGCCGTTGTTGTAACGGTAGTGAGAGAGGTAGACACTTCTATTGTAGATGTCTGGTACATCCTAGCAACGCCGGTTCCTCGGTCGAGTTTGGTAGCTAGTTGTACGGGACTAGTCGCATGCGGTGACGGCTCTCGAGGTTGCCGCACTAGGATGCACTAGCATAGTACCGTTCATGGAAGTTTCTACGCGTCGGCTTTCGCGCTTACCTATTGGACGCAGTTGTCGCATGCCTATTTCCCAGAACTCCTGGACGCTGCCTCTAATGGTAGATTCGCCTGTGACGTTGCCCGGTTTCTTTGTATACTTAAAGGAGCAATGCAAATGCTGATCAAGATAATCCATAGGTGCCGCCACATGTCGACGTATGCGCCGGTCTCGTCGGGAAACACGGTTGAAGTGTTCACGTACTACCGTGGATAGCTCTGGTGCTCATCGGCTTGCACGATTGGCTAGGAAGCCTTGAAGACGTCCCAACTCCCATCGTTGTCCAGTCCAGTGACAAATGAGCTTTTGCCAGATGTTGCGCGCACGGACATGTCCAAGCAATATGTTCCAACGTCTCCTTTATTCCACGGCAGCATTGTAACTTACGACAACCGTTGTCGCTTGCCCTTTCAGGCTTTTCATGGTCGAGATTCAATTGCCGTACGGTTACACGGTACACGACCCAGACTTGGTCCCGTAAGCACGTGGCCATGGTCCCGTACTGTTCGTGGTGTCTGCTGTAAAGCTACAGACTGCCATGCGCCCCCTTGCGCCGCGACTTAAAGTCGTTACAGAGTAAGTCGCAGTGAATATTCGGCACCTTTGCACCACCGTAATGCTTGTTTCTTTATTGCCAATGCCACATGTCTATGTGTAACGGAATCAGCACGATCCATATAAACCCATAAAGGAGCGGATACGCGTAGAAGACGATGTCTCCTGCGTCTTGGGCCCTCCGTAGCTTCTGGCAGTCGGCTGCTGATTGTTCTAGTAGTAGTAGTAGTAGAATCACAACACAGTGTAGATAATAATAGTATCTCTTGTAAATTGTAGTACTAATATTATGTATTGATAAGGTCAAGTTGAACTCATACTAAAGCATGTCGCAATTGATACGGATTGTTTTTCATTTTTAGACGGGAAAAGCGAGTAGAGCAGTGATTGGTTGAAAATAATGACAGTAAATGGCAGATATCTCTATCCACAAACCCTAGCACAAAACCGAGGCAGCTTGCTCTACGTATCCGGATATCTGATGATTGCAGCCTGTTATTCAAACGACGACTACAACGTACTGTAAATATAACGAAAAACGAGCATCTAATGCCTGGCATCACGAGGAACTGGCATTTCATGCTTATCCTATTGAATCTTTGGTGTCAAAATTGACAATAGTATTGGAATTTCAGAATCCATGGAATACGTGGCAATTTGATAGCGATAGGACGATACGGAGGGGTTGAAAGAGCTTGTCGTGGGAAGGTAATCACGAAAGAGACGGCAGCAACAAATCCAGTCAAAATACTACTATTATGATACAGAGCATAATGAGTAAGGGTGTAGTATTGTGGGCTTAGCAAGGTGTAAAACCAAAAAAAAGCACCTTTACATACAACAACAATTCTACTATCCGAGCAAGCAGCAATCACATGTATACACACATCGATAAATGTACATACTTGTCTAAATGAGCAGGGCGGCACTCGCTCTTTTTGATCATGTCAGAAGGTACAAGGAAACTCAACGACGGTATGTACTGGTGTTTTCTGATTCGAGTATATCTCCTAACTACTACTACACCCGACTTTCACAAGTGTATATCAAGACTTTATTATCAAACATACTTAGCAGGGAAGGGGGGAAATCCACTCATACTTGATTAAACTAAGCATCCTCGATTTATTACAATCGGGTGCAGCAACTTCCTGCAATTTCCCCTTCCCCGTACCGACTTTTTCAGTATTTCCGATCAGTCAGTCAGTTACTTTAGCTACTACAAATCTCTTCAGTCTCTATAATCATTCCATTAACTCTTCCATAGTGCATTAAGAACATTGGTTCAAACGTGTCTTTTTTGTATCGATATAGTTTACAACTGTGTAAAGTTACTTGATTACTATGGCACCAGAATCAGGTCATCGTGCACGTCGACATCGTAGTCAACCACGTGGTCAATCACGTCCACATTCAAATGAAGTGGAATCACCACAAAGTCGTGAATTTCCACGACGACAAGGTCAAGTGAATGATTCGATTCAATCCATTTCCTCACCAACGCGTGAAAAAAAACGTGTCGAAGCATCACGTGAACCACGTGAACGACGGAAACAAGAGGTACGATTACGTTCCAAGTCACGACCACCTGAATCTGCTGCACGAATGAATGGAGAAGGAACACGTGGAAGGGGATCAAGTATTAAACGTCCACGTGTACGTTTTAGTACAATTGAATTGGAATGTGGAGCAGAAACATTAACCATGAAGGGCACATGCAGTGGATTATTACGTAAACAAGCGGATAATGAACCAGGAGCTTGGAATCAATACTATTTTGTCATCAAGCCATTGACGTATCTTTTCTACTATAATTCAAAAGACGATGAGACACCACGAGGGATTATTGATCTCGAGTATTTAACGGACGTAAAACTCAATGCAGATTGTCTCCAAAGGGCTGTTGGAGGAGGTGATCATTGTTTTCGAGTGTCAGGTAAATTACCACGACTGAATCCAGAGCAAGTGCCATCAGGAGACGTTCCGAAGATGCGACCAGTGTATCTCGATACGGAGGATGAGGAAGAGGCGAAGAAATGGATCAATGCAATTCGTAATCATCGCTTTAGTGTAAAGAAAGCTGAACAGTTTCTTGATATGACACAACAGTTGCGTGATACGAAGCTTCAAGTTTCGGAGCTGATGGAGACTCAACAGAGAGAGACTGAAATGAAGCGGGCTTTACGTATTAAAGCAAAGACACTGCTGCAAAAGATGCGTGCGGTTGACAGTGGCAAGACTGATGAATTGCCGCAAGTAGATATTGATTTGGATGACACGGCTGATGATATGCTGGCGATGCTAGAGGGGATGGAAGATGTACTGGTGAACCTTCAAATGAAGTTAGATCAGCAAAAGCAGGAGATTACTCAGATGAAAGCTGACAAGACTGGGACGGCGGGCCCACGCAGGGGCTTCACGCAGGTGCTGCAGCGTGCCGTATCTAGGCGCGAGAATACTAGCGTTTTGGAGATGCCGGAGGATGACGAAGAGGAAGCTCTTGCTGCTATTCGAAACAGGAGACAACGCAAGCCCGTTGATCAAGCAATACCGAAAGAAAAGCCAAAGGAAAAGCCGCAGGAGAAGCCTCGGGAGAAGCCTCAAGAAAAACCGCAGGAAAAGCTGTCGGAGAAACTGCAAGAAAAGCCTTGGGAGAAGCCGAAGGAGAAGATCAATGAGAAGCTGGTGGAAGAGCCTCCAGCATCTATGGATAATGTGTCGGATGTGCTTGCAATGTGGAAAGCAAAAAAGAAGAAGAGCCCGTCTTCGACAAAGCAGTCTACACTCGAGGACGTTAGTGACGATGGTTCTGGGAAAAATAGTAAACTTCGATCTGCGCGCGGCGGGATGGCGGCACCAGAGAGTGGCTCGGCTCGCAAGCAGACGGCAGTACAAAAAATCAAAGGCAGCGAGAGATTGTCGGAAGAAGACACGGCGTCACTCAACTCGACGGAAGACCATGAATCTGAGGAGAAATTGCCTCCAGGCTGGACAAAGCACGAAAGCCGCGGATACCCTGGCACCTACTACTATGCGAATGAAGATGGCAAGGTCAGCTGGGACGTGCCGACGGACGACATGGCTGGTAGCGAACTTGACAAAAAAGATAACCGCGATGATCGTTACAGCGATCACGATGAGGATTACGACGATCATGATGATCGTAGCAATCTTGACGACGACGTATATAACGAGTACGATCATCGCATTGACCACAATGTTTCACATGACCAGGAGAACGAGGTGGATGTTTCGTACGTTCCCGACGTTGACACGAGCATTGATTATCTGAGCGAGAACGAAACGGATGAAGAGACTGCTGGTGGTACCACGTCGGCTGCATACCGGAAGCAAAAGCCGAAACCCAAGTCAGCGTGGGCTTTTAAATTGCCAAAACTGCTACCGACGGCAACAGCTGCTGCCCCGATGGTTGCACCTGAAGTAGCTGCGTCCTTGTCTCCCATCCGCCACGGCGCCAATCATCACGAATTTTGATCTTCCAATCTTTGTCTCTTTGCATTGTTTCAAGACTCTAAACTAACGAAAGTGGTAGTAGTAGCAGTAAAACTGAAAATATGATGCTCAAATTGTGCTTCCTTACTACTTCCTGCTTCTTTCAACTTGCTACAGCTCATGATGAACTCGAAAAACAAAACACCATCCTCTCTTCACTTGATTGACAAGGCACAAAACATGATAAAAGCTGCAGGTTAAAGCACCATAACAACGTGTTACCGCCACAAAATCAGCCGTTTTTTCTACATCATCTTGTCCTTTCCTCTTTTTTTCTCTGCAACGTCTGTTGTTGTTGTTTAATCCACATACAATCGATCTGCACGTACTCAAACTGTGCGGTTGTCTACAGCTTGCGACGCTCTTCGGCTGGAAATTTGACGTGATTCGTGTTTGAAAACAGCGCAATGGGAGCTATAGCAGCCGCGATCACGACGATTCCTAGACCTGTTTTACGCTGCCAATTCTTGGTCTTTGCCCACCAACCGCCAGCTGGGGACCACGTGTATTTGGGATACGGATACTCGCCACCTCCACTCATGTCTAGTCTGTGACTTGCTCACTATGTGCGGTGGAGGATTAAGGAGAGAAAAACCTCAGCCATTTGTAAAAATTGAAGGAGTAAAACCTTCCACGTAACAAAACAAAGTATTATTTATTTGATAGTCATGGTCATTGTGGTACAATCATATCATTACATACTGTCTACTTGGCCAGGACGTCGCCAAGTCAGACTTTACATGACAACACAATGCACAAATGAAGAACAGCCTCGAGATACCTACCACGCATGGGTCTACTGTATATTTCGTCCTTAGCCCCACTTGCTCTGGTTCTGCCTCCTGCTACACTGACTTGGTTTAGGTTGGTGCTTTTACCACCGCATTGACAATGTCGTCTCTTTTCGCATCGTCCTTCTCTCTTTCGCAACGTGCTGACAACGGAGCATTTGTCGTCGACTTAATGCTGCTCCATCTAGTGCAACTTCATTGGTCCCGTCATCAGCATCCAGAGATCGTACAAACTCACTGCAAAGTTTTTCGCTTACCCATGCGCTCAAATTGAGCCACCATGCTACAAGTCCGCGCAGCAAGATCACGGGTCTTGTCAATAACCTGACGATGAACCGAGTTCAGCGGCGTTCCCATAACAATACGTCCTTCCTGAGAATCAATCTTAGCGTCCAGACGGGCACTACGGATCAGATTCACGATCCACTTTTCAGCCTCGCCGTCCTCCTGCATAGCCAACTTGGACGATAGTACTTTCATGTCAATAGTGTGGTGCACGCGGCAGTACATCTCAAAGATGGCTAAACGTGCAGCCTCCATAAAATCTGTCGAGTTCTTCTCGTAGAGGAAAAAATCACTAGCCAGCACGACCTCACACTCGCGTAGCTTCTCCCGTGCAGACTCAAAATCAAAATTGATGAAAAGACACTCAACAAAGTCTACTATGGGGTCACGGTAGCCCTTGTCATCAACACGCAGCACACGAAGCAGGTCTTTAATAAGGTTGCGGCGACGCTTGTGCAGGATGACACCGGCACAGAGGTAGCGCAGAAGCCAGGGCGCGTTGCTCTGGATAGCCTCGATGCAACGCGACTGCAGCATAAAGTCGACAATTGCGTCGCGGCCCTCTTCATGCCACGCAAAAACAAACAGCGACCAGTGCAACAGCCACGTGCGCTGCTGAAGCTGCTCTACAGGGCTCATAATGGTCTATCATCGTCGCAAGATACAGAACAAGTCATCAGTATCATCAATAAAATGAACATCCGTGCTGAGGATTAAATCACGTACGCTGCTTTCAACGACATCACTAATGCGAGAAATGTCAGCTAGTGCATCATCCCAGCGGAAAATGAGGATCTCCGCAGCAAGCTTTCCCCATAGTGCGTTCAAATACTGCTCCGACGAGTTAGGAATCAGCACTCCATAGTACGTAAGGTAGGTGAGACAGTCTTGATAATTGCCACATTCATACTGTAGCTTGGCGTATTTATAGAGACCATCAAGCACATCGGGTGTAATCTGTGCATCAAACAAACGAGCATCAACAAGATGAAACCAGTGAGTTACATCATTGCATCGTTGCTCTGATTCAAGATTTTTTTCCTCCATCACGTACACCTTCATTTTGCTCCAAATAAGTAGCATTCAATAGATTTTCACTCTGTAATTGCATAATCTTTTCTTCATCTTCAATGAGATTTAACATGGGACTACACTCGGTCTTTGCAAAACTCAATGCATCCAGAATTTCACCTCGACGTGTTTCATATTCCTGTGGTACATTTTCAATCCCATGAAGTGTTTCATGTATTTCAACTGCAAAATCCGCCATATTCGTTGGTTTTAATAAGGCTAATTTAGCCGCCATGAGCTCTTCTTCATCGTATAACTCACTACTGGATAAAAAATCAATGAGTGGAAACATAAAATGTAGATCCATAAAAGGTGCTAGACGGTTGGTTAGATCAAATTTTGCATCAGGTGGGACGCTTACACCAGGTACAGCAACATTTGTTTCCTCTTGAGTGCTCATGATTCTACTTGTTAATTCGTGTCAGTAAGAGAGAGAGAGAGAGAGGAGTGAAGGAAGGAAGGAAGAGATGAGAGAAGGGATGGAATGAATGGTGTCAAGGAGACATGAAAGTGACGGTAAAGTTATGACTAAATACGATGGATTTTATCCATACGTTTACCTGCGTGAAACGATAAAATCGAAACAAAAGGTGGATATTTTATCAGGGGGCACGGTAGGACCATCACTCTGTTAGTTGCAAATGATGATAGATGTAGATGTATGTACTCACTCCATGCCCTCTCTTCACCTATAAAATTGATCCACTTTATAGTCGCGCTTGGTGCTGTTGCAAAAAGAGATCCGCAAACGGCTGCAGCTTCATGGCCATCCTTAAATTTCCCTGTAAGCGCAGTTTCTTCCGAATCAATGCCTGCTGCATCCGAAGTCGACCTGCCGCCAAATCCAGAAAGTCTTGCTCGTCCATGTGGATCTGCAAGTCCGGTGCCAAACGCGAATGTCTTCCTTCCAACAAAGTGCCCTTGCCATGAAGTAATGATATCGTCCATACCTCCTTGTTAATGTGCCATTCAAGCACGCCTGAAATTTGCTTGCTAAGCTCCGGACCCTTCTCCTGCAGTGTTGTTCGCAGTCGGTCAAACACTTCAGCGCACTCACTGGAACGAGAAGTAGTCAGGGACTTTGGTGGTGCCGACACGTTGCGCATCATGGGCTCAAACGAGTCTTGCGTGGACGTCGGATGGGTTACGCGACTAAAATCCACCACATCTCGCCATTGCTCTGCCACAAGCTCAGGCGTGAACTGAGTGGGGTCTGTCGGAAAGCCAACACCGTGGGTACGCTGTAGACGAAGAGCTCCGACCCAGCCACCACCCAGCTCAAACAGCTGACCATTGTCCTTGCATGACGAGTGACATAGATATACAATGATTGGTGATGTCAATTCTGGCGTCAGCTTTGTATAGACGTCGTCGGGCCAAACTGGCTGCGTAAGACGCGTGCCAGCCACAGGAGACACTGCATTCACAGCAATATTGTACTTGACACCTGCCCATATCGGCAAGTCACCATTCAAAAAGTAAGTCAGGATCAACATCAACCCCATTTTTGTCGTCTGTAACTTGAATCAGCAAACAAACCCTCTCGATTGAGTGCTACAGTGAAGCCGACAAGTCCCATCTTCATGGTAGCGTAGTTGACCTGTCCAAAATTGCCATAAAGTCCAGCGCCAGACACGCAATTGAGAATCCGTCCATACTTTTGATGTCGCATAATAGGCCACACTGCCTGCGTCACGCTGAACGTGCCCAGCAAACTCGAACGGTACACGTCGTCCCTATATCCACAATAGTAGCAACAAGCAGTACGTAATCATCGGTTATTGTCCACAATGTACAGTCATAAAAGCAAGCTTTTTTTTTCAGTTAATACCAATTTTCCTGTGTCATTTTGCGAAAGGATCCATCACGAATGACCGTGGCATTCTACAACAACAACAACAAAAGCAGCAGTAGAGATAGTCGATGGTCACTTTTTTTCTCTCGATCTGTATCGACTTATACGATAGTACATACATTAATCAAGATATCAACTCGATTGAAATGTCTCATTGCAGTCTTTACAATCTCGCCACCTTCTGTTGTACTATGGTGATCACCTACAGCCACACCACCTTCCAGACGAATACTCTGTACGACGTTTTCTACCAATGAGTGATCGGTATCATTGTCATTTACTACTACATACACTCCACGTGCAGCCAATGCCTTCACCCACGCACGTCCTAATCCACGTCCTGCACCTGTTACAATTGCCACTTGGGCGGCATCTCCGTTTCGAAATGATAGCAACATTTTTCTCCAGTCTCTTCTTGGTCGTTTTATTATATATACCAAGATTTGATTCGACATGGGACGACAAATTTGTGTGAAAAACACAACTAACTTTAGTGACACCAGCTAATGATTCGGTGACGTTTCATCAACACTTTTTGTCACTCACTCATTCACTTTATCTTTTCCAATTATGACAGCAGCGCTAATCCACGCCGAGTTTGGAAAGGATTGTGACCTGTACGCAGTCATGGGTGTGACAAGATCAGCCACTGAGAAAGAAATTACTCGAGCTTATCATAAATTAGCTCTAAAATATGTGTGTTGATTGATATTGCTGCTGCTTTTTCTATTTGGTAAAAAAATAAAAAATCTTGTAGACAATTTCATACTAATACGCTTTACTTCGTTCCAGCATCCTGATAAACAACGGGGTAATGAAGCTTCATGTATAGAAGCAAAAGGAAAATTCCAAGCTGTGAGTGCAATCCATTCGATTCTAAGTAACAAGGACGCCCGTGCTGTATACGATGAGTCAGGCACGATTGTATCGGACGATCAGGATGTAAAGTCGGCGTCGTTTCACATGTGGACACAATATTTTGCGCGTATTTTTCCTAAAGTATCGAAAGAAGACATTAAGACGTTTGAAAAGCAGTACCGGCACTCAGAAGAAGAGAGACATGATGTCATGTCCGCTTACACCAAGTACAAGGGTGAGATGCCGAAGATTTTGGACACAATCATGTTGTCTACGGACGACGATGAAGCACGTTTTGCAGAGATGATTCAAGAGGCTATTGAGATAGAGGAGGTGCGTGTTTTGCGAGCTGTTAAGACGTTGGATGTTTTTTGAGTAAAATGAGTGGTAACAACAGATAAAGCTTTTTCCGACGTGGCGCAAGTACGTGAAGGAGCAGTCCAAGCCGAAGAAAACGAAAAAATCTCTAGCAGTGCAAAAAGAAAGCAAGCAAAGCGTGAGAAGGAAGCACATGAGGCTGAAGAACTGTTTAACAAAATTCGAGGTAACCAGCAAACACGTAGGGAGGAGTTGGACAGCACAGCGCTTAGTACTGAAAGGTGAGATCATGCATGTCAATTGTTTGCCACCATCCAAGCAGTGTCGCACTGACTTTGAGACGATTGTTGTAAGCAGGAAGTGCGAATTTGAATCGTTGCTTGGTAGCTTGGAGGCTAGGTTTACTAAAAAGGGCAAACAGTCAAAGCGGAAGGCTGTTTGCAGGACCAGGGCGAGCCCAGTGAAGAAGAGTTCAGTGCCGCCCAGAAGCGGCTAAAGCGTCACAAAAGGGCAAACGGGAGCTGAGTTTGTTGTTTGAGGGTGTTATGAGCTCATAAAATGCGACGTCGATTTTTGATGAAAGAGTGGAAGGATTAAGTGCATCGCTGCTGACGAACGTGAAGGAAACACTGAGCGCATGCTGTGGTCCTGAGCAAAGTGTAGGGCAGAATTGGCTTTTTTCCATCGAGAGTCTTCAAGTTCACGACTTCATTGAAGCATTTCTCATCTTCATGTAAATCTTTTGGTGTTGTCGCATCCACGTCAAAATGCTTATGCATCGCTTTGAGAGCTAGCTTTCAAGCCTGCTGGTCATCTATTACGAGTAGAGAATCCCGAACCACGTGCAACGCCACATCAACACGCCATTCGATAAAACTTACGCTTCCGGACCATTCTTTATTAGCCAACGGAGATGCAACATCAGGATAGTGATAGTACGTTTGGGGTCATCCGCATCTTTATCAGAATTGTTGTTCACGTCAATGATTGCTGCATCGGTTGGACCAAAACTAGATCACGGTCGATTCCAACCCTGCGTATCATCATGCTTTACATGATTGCGTGGTGGTGGATCACGAAAACGGACGAAATGGATATGTGAACGTGATCCACTGCGCGTTTTGCTGCCAAGTATTTCTGCGACCGCATTATTGTACTATATAGTCAGATTGAGATCATTCAATCGATACGCATCATTTATACGCCGCCTGGTGGCTGACGCCTCGGTGGCTTTGGTGAAAAGCCTAAGTTTAAGTAGCATCTTCTCCAAACACGGGCAAAGGCTGCTAGAACCGAGTGTAAATGCGGAGAGCTTTTATTTGGCACAGTGACGGCTACTGAAGGTGCACTAACGGCTGTCATTCCTGGCCATGCAGGTATTGGAGCTGTCATTTAAAAAAAGAAGAATGATGTGTTGCGTCTTTTTTAATCGTGGAACTTCTTTCCGGAGCACGGTCTCGTAGATAGCTTTATCTTATAAGTAGTAGTAGTAGCAATGTTACAATATTCAAATGCACAGTCTAGCAACAAGATACTGAAAGAAAAGAAGTAGCAGACAAACTAAGAAGGCCAAAAAGTGTCATGATGTGTTCCTAGCAGACTTGTTGTCATTACAATAACATGTTGTGTCCGATTTGCGAAGATCAGTTAAATTTTGTCTTCAAGCGTGAACCCCTTTGATTTCAGTATCTCCAGTCCTCAGAGGACAACTTGAGGCGCGGCATGCACATCCAGGTTAAGCGTTGTGCGACATAATCACTAACTTATACACACACCTCCTGATGCAATACAGCGACAGTTGTGGCTGCAATCATATTTGTCCCGCAAAGTATTTTTGAGGCAAATTGAGTCACAATATCAAGGAACCACCTTGCCTCCACGTGGGCAGTTAGCATATGAGCAATCAGGGTCTTCCCTGTCCAGAAGACGATGAGGACCTTCCCGCAACAGACGATTCAGTTGCTCAGCGAAGTTAGTAGGTAAGGCGCTTACCATTACCACGGCCGTCAGACCGAGGAGCATCTTGTTCACTTGTACCATAGTGTAGCCAAGTTGTAGTGAATAAAATTGGAGGACTGCGTTGTTGTAGGTCAATGAGAAAGTGAGACGATTATTGTAGTCATCAAGTAATCTACCGTCAAACGACGCTTTTCAAGCAAGTGATCTTGTGCACTATCTTTGGGTACAAATGAATGTCTTATCGTATTTGACCTTGTATCTATTTAAACCATATGTCTACTTCGTCCGAGTCATGATGATCAATTGCTTATTCGTATTGGTTACTGCTACGTCCCTGTCGCAGAACTGGTTTCAATTGTATGCGTTTGGACTTGACTACGTCAAAGGTTTGGACAAATTAGTTTATAACAAAACCAAAGTAGGCGAGGATTTGCTTTTGCGCCAGTCGTTTGGTCACGTTGACTACAGCAGCAGGTTTTCGCCAATTTATACCACAAGCGACAGTGATAACATATGTATGCAGTGCATGCGCCCATGAGATGCGTCCCGTTGCGTGTACTGTAACTGATCGTTCGCGAACGTATGACCTTGGTGAATTAGCAGTCAGCCAGTGGTCAATTCTATGACCCATTCTCTTGCATTCAAGAGAGATGAGTACGTGGTTGTAATATGACAATTGGTTATATAGAAAAATCCTGGCCGTGCATGCCTCTTTAATGGGAAATAGAGCACGTAAAGGTCATGAACATGAAACCATTTGAGATAAAGCCACTTGTGTTATTGTAAGAGAGATTCAGAATGTCTAGTGACTGTTTAGTAATAGATTCCTGGTATGTTCGTAGCGAGATAAAAACGCCGGCGTCGAAGGGCGCGATGTGTGATCGACGACTCACTCCTTATGGCTCAGTGGGCTCTCGCCGTGGGTGGTGTAGCTCTCGATGCACGCGCGTAATGTAGCACCGTCGATGACAGCGTCCGCCTTGCGGTGGTCGCGTCTGACGATGGCTTCAAGTTACCGGACTGCCTCGTTCCAGTTGGCCACTGCTCCTTCCTACGCCGTCATCTATTCGCGCCGCGGAAGACACGACCACCAGGCTTGATCTAGAGGCTTTTGGTCGTGACTGTGCAAAGGAGCATCCAGGAGCGTTCAGCTCCTTTTACACGGTCACGACCAAAAGCCTCAGAGGAGAGTCCAGCTCGTGTCCAATCGGCAGCAAAAACCATCCAGTTCGTCAGGGTTCCCTTGAGCTACCATCTGTCAGATAGGACAACAAGAGCGGCTTGGTTTAAGCCGCACATGCATGTTTCCAGCATGCAACCAACCAAGCTGCACTCTAGCGCCTTTCCAGTGGCTGATGAGCTGTGCCCGCATGCCCGCGTCACTTGACCAAACGGACAGCTTCAGAAGAGGTGCTCGTACGATTTCCTTACACCAGCGCATCGGGTCCCGGTGAAGCACGGGTACTCGTGGGCTCGATTTGTGTAAACAAAGCTCAAAGAGGGTATGTCCCAACAAATTTCCAGCGAATTTCAGAGCTTATGTGCGTCAGGCGGTGGAGAGCTGTCGTAGAAGGCGTATTCCGTCCGCCTCTTTCGCCTGATTTCAAAAGCGTTGTTATAGGTAATGTGCAACTCGGTTGTAGAAAATACATTGATTTACTACTGTCCAAGCAATTGACATTAGCGTTGCGTACGTTTCAAGAGGTGATTTTGCCAGTTTACGAGCCGAATGAGACCGAGGTGATGCAGTTTGCAGAGTTACTGCTTTGTAGAGATGCAGATGAAATGAAGCACAAAGATACAATGTCATGGCAAGATGTAGAACTACAGCAGAAGATTGAGGAGCTGGTTAGTCCAGAAGAAATAATCCCAGAGGGTGCTCTACGGGTTAGTTAAGATTGACACAGAGAGGTACAATAGGAGAACTTATTGTGGCTGTGTCTTGGCAGAGGCTGATGCTGGATGGAATCGAGACAAATCTACAAGCACCACCGCCTATGCTCAATGGGTGTATCACTGGAGAGTGTATGGAGGTTCTCACGAGTTGTATTAAGCTTGACGTGTGGGAGTTGGCGTTCTCGCCTGATGGAGATATCTTGGCATCGGCGTCAAGTGACGGGTCAGTCGTATTGTGGCAGCTTAAGTGGTGTGATGGGGCAACAAATTGTCGTCAAGGATCTCAGGTGAGCTCAGTAGGGATCTGTTTCATCTTGTTACGTATCTGACTCTTCAATATGTGGATTAGCTCGCGGTAAAACCTCATCACGTGTTGCAAAACCTTGAAGGACCTGCTGACTGCCTTGCTTGGTCCCCAGACAGCAAGTTTTTGCTATCGAGTGGTAGCCGCTCTGGAACTATTCAATTGTGGGATCAAATGGTGCGATTTTTTTAAACTTTTAGCATACGGAAACTTTATTTTAATTTATCCTGAGATTAATCGTCGACTAAGCTTTTTCACCTCCGTTTTATCTGGATATGTAGAGCGGATTGTGCAAAAAACGTTTTCAACACCCAGAAGGAGCGGTCACAAGAATCCGCTGGCTGCCATGTGGGGACCAGTTCCTAAGTGGAAGCGCAAACAAGACTCTCGTTCTGTGGGTAGGATAACCTTCGAGTGACTTGCCATCCACTGGCGTATTGGCGTGCCATTTATTTTAGCGAGATGTTCTCACTCAGCTGTTTCGATGTAGTCTGCAAGCGTAGGCTCCATTGCGTACCAGTGGAGTGGTCGAAGGGTGCTGGATATCGTTGTGCATCCACACAGTAGTAAGGTGTTTGTACTGACATCAGGGCACGAGATTCGTGTATACGATATCACGCTGAAAACGGACCAGTTGTTTTTGCAAGCCGAACATCTTGTGTCGTGTTTAAGCGTATCCCCTTGTGGAAAGTTCCTACTTGTAAACTTTATCAAGCAAGAACAAATCGCGTGTGTGGATATTGCTACCGGTTCCGTAACAGCCAAGTATTGCGGGCTTCGTGAGCAACGATACGTTCTTCGTCCATGCTTTGTGGGGAACCACAGCGAGGTTGTTGTCGCTGGAAGTGAAGGTATGATGAACTGTTGGCAATTCAGTGATAACGTAAACTAACGATTCGTTATACTTTTTGCATTATTTTAGACGGTGCAGTGTATTTGTGGCAGCGAGACAGCGGTAAACAGGTGGGCAAGCTAGATGGACACGCGAGTGTAGTAAATGTGGTGGTGCGTCACCCAATCCATTCGAACGTGATTGCCAGCGCAAGCGACGACAAGACCGTGCGTTTATGGTCTCTCAAGTCGCTAGAGTAAACCTGAAAACTGCAGTAGATGTTTAGCGTTTTACTTGTTCAGCGTTTCTGCATCATATTAACACAGCTCGTCAAACTCATTTAGGTTCAGCTGGGGCCTATCAATGTGTAAATACCTACTGGTAGTGATTTACGAGGTACTCTAGTGCTAACCTACAGCTTATTTTTAAGAACACATGAGTATAACAAACTTTCACTCGTTATTGAGTAACAACTGGTAGTCTATTACGCAATCTGTCAAAGTGTTGCAATCTGACAGATCACTAAAAGTGTCGAAATCGTCATTCTTCACAGCAAGCGACGTCAGCACTACACCCATCGAGACAAGCGAGTTTACATTCCTGAAGCATATTCATCTCATCCAGCAGCATACCCTCTCCCTCCATCTTCATAGAGACTGATAAGTCACCATCCAGCGCTGCAATACCGTCGCAGTCGTCCCCATTAGCGCCCGCGGCATCAGCAGAAGACACGCCACTTTTAGCTTGGACCGTACGCTTCAATGCGTAATATGTGAGCAAGTGGATCATATGAGGTTAGTGGGTTACACGAAGGTGTGTATTGTACATACACACCTGCCACACCAATGTGGTGTGGCTGTACCTTGGGCACAAGAGTAGGCTTGATGTGACCGTACCTGAAGTACGAAGGGTCACATTGTGGCAGAGAGCCACGTGGTCACTATACTTATTTAAAAGTATAGTGATTATGTATGTTTGCATAATAATAACAGGCTACAGAGCCAGTAATAGTGACTAGCACTAAGTATAGAGTAGGTGCTTCTATATTTAGTGTTAGAAGATAAACAATAAATATAAATCAGTTTTGAATCCTGCTCTGTAAGCCTTACAGCTTGAGCGTTCTATTCCTTCTAAGGTTTCAGTATCTTTGATACTAGTCTCTTTGATACTCGGTTGTTAATACCGATAGACACAAGCTTACGAGCTAGCCTAGATAGGGTTAAGCACTATAAGACGTAGAAGCTCTCTGAGCTTGTCTTCCCCCTGCACGTAGCGCATAAGTAGCTTTGCTACAGTGGTTGATACTTCTTCTGCACATAGTGCATCTCACAATAAGTAGCGTAGCTACAGTAGCTCGGCTACACCTGGTAGCACTTGTAGTCAATCCCGCACCTGGGTTTGCGACTACTTCTCTGTGTGAGAATGGACATCGATGAGATGTCAGCGGTTGGCCTGTCACAGGCACAACAGGAAGGGTTGCAGAAGCTGCTCCCTATCCTTGGCCCTAAGGGCGTGGAATACCTTATCGCCCAGGGCGAAGAAGAGGTTAACAAGCGTATTCATATGCTTGATGAATATAACAAAGCTCTAGTCGAGCATGTAAAGGCACAGATGCCTTCTTCTGCGCCTTCGCCCATGGTGACTATGGCGCAAGAAGTGGTCCGCAGACCAAAACCCATACAAATGGAAGTCGATAAGTTCGACGGCAAAGAAGGTGACAACCTTATGCTTTGGTTCCGACAGGTTGAGTCGGCTATGTTAATAGCCGACATCACCTATGAACCGTACCGTGTGGGCTTTGCCACGGGCAAGTTAGGTGGTTTAGCCAAACAGTGGGATCACATGTGGTGCATCACTGCAAGATGCGTTTCCCACATGGGCCGATCTGAAAGTTCAGATGACCCGGCAGTATGCACCGCCAAACCAAGCACACCGTCCCCGGGCGCGGTTTTTGGCGTGTCGCCAAGGCAAGCGTGAGCTTGCGGCATATGTACAAGAGTTGAGAACTCTCATTGCTGCCATGGTCATAGACCCTATGCCTGAGGCAGTGACCGTCACGGTCTTCATGGAGGGCATCCGAGTTGGCGTTGCCAGAACGGAAGTCTTCCGGGTAAACCCGTTCTCGTTCGAGGAAGCTGTTGGAGTGGCATGGAATGCCGAGACCAACTTTAAGGCCGTTAGGCCTGCCACTTATAACTACTCGTCTGATGGGTCTGTACCCATGGACTGTAGTCAAGTGGAGGATGAAGAAGCTGAGCTTCAAGCTGCGGAGCAGCAAATTGTGCGCAGATGTTATATCTGCAAGAGCACAGGCCATTTGATTGATGGCAAAATGCCCTGCAAGAAAGGCATATTTGGCCTCGAAGGGCCGACGCCCCATGGGTAAACCTTCTGGTTTGCCGTGGGGAAACGGCGGAGCCCAGTAGGCGCGGGGCGCCCTACTGGGGAAGAACTGAGTTTTGTTGAACCTCTAGGAGGTAGAAGTAAACAGGCCAGCCCCAAAGAGATCCAAACTCTCAAAAACGGAACGAGAATGCAAGCCAGGCTTGCTAGTCGTCGAAGGGACGATTAAGGGCTATGATAAGCCATGGATCATTTTGATCGATTCGGAGGCATCGGGCAATTATGTGCGCCGTGCCACCGTGGAAGGTAGTCAGCAGTATGCTGAAGCGCTTGTAGCGCGTGAGAGTGACACAAAGTCACAGTTCGCTTAGCGACTGAGTACGCGTGTTACGGTACCCAAAGTCCTGATGGACTTAAATGTAAAGTTCTTGGACTTTAATATAAAGTCGTGGTGTTTGGTCTTAGACCTGGATTCGAGGTATGATCTCATCTTAGGCATGGCATGGCTAGAACGTCATGAGCCATGGATTGATTGGACGTCGAAGACCTTAGGTGCAACGCGCAATGCTTCTGGTGGGGCTCTGGAGAGTCATGAACCCACCTCTGCTAGAAATCAAACGAGCTTTTGGCGCGGATATTGGACCGAGTCGGTCAATATGTTGAATGTCGGAATATCCGACTTTGTAGACACTGTAACTGTTGAGGACAATAGTCCTGGGCGATGCCCGATGACTGTCGATATTGTGGTTGAGAACCCACTAGATGGCACATATGGCATGTGTTATGATAATGATGTTGCATCATTAAACACCGTGAGTGGTGTTGGTGGCTGCAAGCCAAGATGTCAGGACATGAGTCCAAGTGACATGAGTGACGAGGAACTGACCCTGGAGGGCCGGGTGAAGTCACAAATGGATGTAGTATTTGAGGAAAATGAATGCATGCACCTAACGACGAGGTACTGGCCCAAGATGGTCAGGTGAAGTCAAAAATGACGGTTGTCTTTGAGGACAACGAGGTGCAAACACCTCATGACGAGGCATTGACCCAAGAGGGTGGGGTGCAGTCAGTAAACGAAGTGGTCTTTGACCTTGAGGTGTGTACACCTGTGGACGCTGATGCGTCGGATCCTGAGAGCAGTCATGAGTAGCGATGATAATATCGTGAGTGACGGTGATAGCGAACAGCTATATACACTCGTCAATGGTTTGACTGGGGATGTTGAAGAGCCGGTGGCTCTTTCAGCAATACCCGCAGTAAGTGCTCTGTTAGAGCTGGACGAGTTGTCCTTTGCCGAGTTTGGCATTGCCTGTAAAGGCAGGCGACATCGCCGAAGTGGTCGTTATACGACCTGAGGAGGAGTTGAACTCCTCATCGCTTTTGGATAAAGCAGTTCTTGAGGATACCAAGAAGGCGCTGAATGCGCGTAGTGGATCACAGATCCTGAAGGACCCTTCGGATCCTTATTTTCCTTTGTTGAAGGAATATGGAGATGTTGTCTCCAGAGAACCTCCTACGAGGTTACCTCCGGATAGAGGTGTACGTCATGAGATTGACTTGGTTCCAGGAACCAAATACTGTGTGACGCGACAGTGGCCGCTGCCACGAGAACAATGTGGTGACGTCATTGACGAGTTCTTTCGTGCAAAGCACGCGGCTGGCATGGTGCGTGAGAGTAAGTCTCCTCACTCTACGCCCACGTGTTGTGTGAGAAAGCCTAATGGGAAGTGGGAAAGTTGCTTACAATAAGCTGAATGCAGCCACTATCCCGGCTCAAACACCGATTCCTCGCAAGGATGTTCTTCAGAACAATATGGTGGGATGTACGATGTACAGTGCCCTCGACTTAGTCGATGGATATTACCAACTGCTCATGCGAGCTAGTGATATCCCGCTGACAGCGGTCAGCACTCCGAGCGGTATGCTCTGGGAGTGGTTAGTGATGCCCCAAGGGCTGTCTAACGCACCTGCAATGTTCAATCGTCTAGTGACGCAGTTGTTTCGGCCCCATAGGGCGTATGCACAGACATACTTTGACGATATATTCGTCCATAGTCGAGCCGAAAATGGCAAGACTGATGTGGAGAATCACATCAAGCGCCTGCGAGCTGTGCTCGGTTGCATGAGGATGCATAAGTTATATGCCAATATTGACAATTCATCTTCGGTGCGGAAGAGATTTCCGTTTTGGGATGCTTCATTGGGAAGCGAGGAATCCGGGCAGACCCTGTTAAGGTCAAAGCCATAGTGGATTGGCCGGTTACGAGGAACCAGAAGGACCTCCGCAAGTGGTTGGGTTTGGCAAATCACTTGCACAAGTATAGCCACAACTATGCGGAAGTGGCTCGGTCATTATCAAATCTCCTTAAAAAGGATGTGGAATGGTGTTGGAACACCGAGCACCACGAGGCTTTTGAAGCCATTTAGGAGAGTATCCTTCAGGCGACAATTCTGGCTCTGACTGATCTTGATCGCCCGTTTAGCGTCGTATGTGACGCTTTGGACTTTGCCATTGACAGTGCACTTTTGCAAGTTGACTCTGAGGGTCGAGAACGCGTCATCGCGTTTGAGTCTCGCCAGCTGAAAGCTGCAGAGAAGAACTATCCAGTTCATATGACACGGAGCTACTTGCGATAAAATATGCCCTTGTTAAGTTCAGGGTACACCTGTTGGGCTCAAAGCCGTTTATGATCTATACCGATCATGCTTCGTTACGCACAGCGACACAGTCGCCTCATCTCTCGCAGAGAATGGCTCTGTTGGCTCTCCTTTTTCGCGGAGTATAACGTCGAGGTGAAGTATAAGCCGGGAAAACAGAATGTTTTGGCTGACGTGTTATCGCGAAGACCTGACTATGAGCTTGCTCATCTCACTGTTATGAGTTCGTCGGTCACAGAACGTATCCGTTTGGCGTATGCGCACGATGAGGCATGTGTTGCCATTTTGCACGCGCTGGGTAGCGCAGAGATTCAACACTCTAAGGTGAAGTTGTCACCACGTAATCGTGCGAGGTCACATCGTTATGCACTGATCTATGGTCTGTTTTACTATAGTACAGGGTCGGATGACCAGCCTCGTGTTGTGGTGCCTCATGATGAGGACCTTAAGCATCAGATACTTTATGAGGCTCATGATACATCACTTGGTGGTCATCTAGGTCGTGAGAAGACCTACAGCTCGGTGAGCACCCATTATTGGTGGCCAAAGTTGTACAAATGGGTTGGTACCTACGTACGCACGTGTGAAACGTGTCAAAGGGTGAAACCCTCGCCTAATATGGCTGCGCCTTTGGCGAGTTTGCCTGTACCCTCGGGGTTGTGGCAGTCGATTAGTATGGACTTTGTGTTTGGCCTACCGCGTGATGCGGCAGGCAACACTGGGATTGTGGTCTTTGTTGACCGATTGAGCAAGATGGCTCACTTAGCGGAAGTGCCGGACTCCATTGATGGAGAAGGAACAGCTAAGCTGTTCATGGATCGTGTGTTTCGACAACACGGATTGGTTTGATGTGACGTACGAAGGGTCGCATCGTGGCAGAGAGCCACGTGGTCACTATACTAAGTATAGTGTACTATTACATGTTTGCAACAGAGCCAGTAATAGTGACTAGCACTAAGTATAGAGTAGGTGCTTCTATATTTATTGCTGGAAGTCAAACAATAAATAAATCAGTTTTGAATCTGCTCTGTATAGCATACATGCTAGAGCGTTCTCTTCCTTCCTTATAAGGAAGTTGTTTCGTTAATACTAGTCTCTTGGAGTCGCAGTTGTTTACAACCAAAAGGCACAAACTTGTGGAGCTAGCCTTGGGAGGGTTAAGAGCCTTAAGACACACAACTCTTGACGCTGGTCTTCCTCTGCACTTAGTGCAGAATGTAGCTTTGCTCCAGCAGCTCTGCTACGCAGTGCAAAAGTAGCTTTACTACGGTCCTTTGGCTACAAAGCTTGCTAGGTTTACCTGTTGCGTCTATCAATGTTTCGATATTCACGAGGTATACGCAGCTTATTACAAGAACATTGAAGATAGCAAACTCTTCCCTCTGAATATACAGGTCATCTTAACTGTCGGAGAAAGCAAGAAACGGTCAAAAGCAAGCAGGAATGCTGCCCTGCCTCGATCGTGAAATTAGTTGTGCAGGAAAAGTGAGCTTTTAGGCTCCTGGCGGGCATGGCCAACAAAATTTTATTCAGATGGATCTGGTATCTAGCAGTGGTTATAATATCGTTGCTGGCGCAAGACGGCGCAGACAAACTCGCCGTAAAAGTTGTTAGACTGCCCCCAGATTTCTGTTAGGCTCATGGGTGTGTGTATACCAACAGATTCAGAGATTGCTACTCCTGTACTAGAATGAAGACTATGGGGCTTTGCGAAACACCAAGCATTAGCTCCCAAAAGCGTTAACATTAATTAACACTTCGTAAAGTAATAACTGTTGGGTCCACTGGGAGTTCTGCAATGTGATGAATCACTAAAGGTGTCGCAATCTCATTCTCACGGCAAGCGGCGTCAGCAGTACGCCCATCGAGACAAGCGAGTTTACACTCCTAAAACATATCCATCTCATCCAGCAGCATACCCTCTCCCTCCATCTTCATAGAGACTGATAAGTCACCATCCAGCGCTGCAATACCGTCGCAGTCGTCTTCATTAGCGCCCGCGGCATCAGCAGAAGACAGGCCGCTTTTGGCTTGGACCGTGCGCTTCAATGCGTAATATGTGAGCAAGGGGATCGAATGGCATACAGCCACCAACTTTTGCAGAGTAGCAGCGTTTTCTAGAGGAAGCACAGGTGGCGTCTCGGTCTGATACTTCAAGCTTAGTTCCAGAGAACAATCTGGTGTTGTGTTCAACTCGATCAGTACTTGGTTGCCATCCCCCAAAAGATCTCCAGTGTTCATTGTAATACGCTCTGCTGCTGCAACGTCCACTTTGATTTGAACTAAACACAACCGCCCAGCAACTGATCAGCACTTGTGTCACTTCCATGTAAGCAAGCTGCATATACAAACAGAATCGTACCATTTACTGCATCGTCGTTGTCAGCAGCAATACGTTGACCAAACACGGCGCTTCTAGAGCAGAAGGCGGATAATAAAAGCACATGAAAGAACAAACTTCTTCCACATATCTTCATAACATTGGTCAACGTCTCCATCGAAGCGTTGGACAGCTACAGGCATCACAAACATTTGTCATGTTTATTAGATCGGTACAAATTCGCATTCAAGTACCGTATCGTACTGGTATAGGGAAAGAATGCAGCTTCAGACCACCAGAAATCTCTTTCGTCGTCAAGGTGTATTCCTGACGCATCGCTAGTGACGAACGTGAAGGGAACACCGAGCACATGCTGTGGTTCCGAGCAAAGTGTAGCCAGGGCAAAATTGGTTTTTTTCCATCTAGCGTCGTCCAGCTCACGAACTCATTAAAACGCTTTTCATCTTCATGTAAATCTTTTGCTGTTGTCGCATCCACGTCTACATGCTTATGCATCGCTACGAGAGCGAGCTTGCGAGCCTGCTGTCCATCCATTACAAGTGGAAAATTTCCAACCACGTGCAGCGCCACTTCACCACGCCATTCGATAAAACTAATGCTTCCGGACCATTCGCCATTCATCAGTGGAGACACAACATCTGATGATGGTACGTTGGGGTCATCCAGATCGTCATCAGGGTTATTGTTCACGTCAATGGTTGCTGCATCGGTAGCACTAAAACTAGAGCCAGCGGCCAGTCCAGCCTGCGTATCATCATGCTTCACACGCTTGCGTGGTGGTTCAATCACGGCAACGCACGCAAGTGGATCTTTGAACGTGATCCGAACGCCCTCTACTGCGCGTTTTGCTGTCCAGTATCTCTGCAACCGATGATTATAACGTATCGTCAAATTGAGATCATTTTCAAGCAATACGCATCATTAGTACGCCACCTGGTGGTTGCACGCCGCGGTGGCTCTGGTGAAAAGCTCAAGCTCGAGCTGCTCAAAGCTCACTGCAAACACAGCAAAATCAATTGTAATGGATATTCCAAGCCAATTTTTTTAGGATCACCTAGCAACGCAACACACTCACACGATGGAAACTTTACAGCTAACTCAGCGCGATTAATCAATCGATTTAGCTTTTCCTAGACACGATGGACATGTATCAAACGCAGCATAAAGTTTACCTCACAAGCAGAACATAATTGGTGAGAAAGATAAAACAAACCGTAAAGTTTGTGCTGTCGCCATCGGCCAGTAGCTTTAACGACGCAAGCAGGTCTTCGTCTCGATCCAAAAATTGGCTGGATTGGTCTGTTACAAGAGAGAGTATAGAAAACATCGATATTAGGGCTGGTATATGCATTCGACATATCCAATCTGTCGTCACCTTTCTCTACCGTGGTCAGCGACGCGGACTCGACCGCACCCTATCCACGCAAAAGTTCACACAGTGACTCTTTTCATCTCACTTTATAGCCGTTTCCAAACTCTGCCGTACCTCTCCACCAGATAGCACAATATCCAGTACAAAGGTGTCACAGTAGATAGACAATGACGACTCGTTGGGTTTGAGGATCTGCAGCTTAACCAGTGGACGACTGAGGTTTGACACGATCTTAGTGACCTCGAACATGATTTTGTAAGCTCCAACACGCCCTTCTAGCTCAGCACCACGTAGCCCCGCTTCTAAGTCAAGTTTGCTAACACTTTCGGCTAGAATCGATCGTACAGTAGCTACATGATTCTCAAAACGCTTGACATCCTTCCGCAGCTGTACAAATTGTTGATTGCGTGCATACCAATCCTTATGTTGCTTCAGTGTTTCAAAGAGGTAATTGAGACCAAAACGCCATGAATTTTTCTCTGTCTGCAGTCGGTTCTTTTGCTGGAGCACTATAATAATAATAATGATACAATGTGTTATATTCCCATCATGTACTGATTTAACCATATCTTCATTCAGGACGTACAATGTTGCTCGAACATGGCGCTGTTGTTGCGCAAATTATCAGGTAACATTCCATCCAAACACGAGCGAAGGCTGCTAGCAACCGAGTGTAGATGCGGAGAGCTTTTATTTGGCACAGTAGAAGCTCCTGAAGCTGCACTTACGGCTGTCATTTCTGTTCGTGGAGTGGTGATCGTGAAGGATGTTGCGTCTTTTTTACACGTGCAACTTCAAACCGAGAGATAAAGGACGGGCAACATAGTACGTTGTGCCAGCAAAAGTCTCAGCTACAAACAAATTGTGAGCCAAGGAGAGACTACTGATCCTGGTATGCATGCACAAGTTAGTTCCATGCCAGGGCAAAGCCGCATGCTACGTTAACTTCACAGTCGAATTATGTCGAGATACCAACACACGCATCAGTGCCGTAACTTCTTTCGAGTTTTTCTCTCTCAGCCCCATGGCTATCAACGAAAAGAAAACATCGCGCAAAGAGTTGTTGCAGACACTGCAAGCTGCATTCAGATGTGAGCGCGCATTACGAGTGGCAAGTGTGAATTTCCTCAGAGGTCCGAGACCGCAACATTCGATCCCTTAATTTCAGCTTCGCTGTGCTTCAACTTTACGTCAATTTCTTGCCCACCACGAATCTTCACGAGCACGTGCTTCATCACGCTTTCTTTTGCTAACAAGGTAGTGCGGACTTTCTCGTAGTACTAGGATACCTACACGCTGCAAGATGGCAGGAACGACCGCAAGTCCGAGCACATTTTTTTCCTTGTGCCGCCGTATCTACCCACAACGTCTCCAGAACTGTCGCAAATAATTGACTGCCAGTGATGAGTGCTGAATTTGACAAAACAAGCTGTTCATGAATCTCCGTGTGATGCCTCTGCAAATACACAGCGTAACTGTCATGGATGCACAGCCAATTCCAACACCAACAGCCACACGACGTACCAGCAAAACAGTCTGCTACTCTCTACTCCGATTGTAAACAAAGCTGTGGAGATCAAAATCATTCGACATCGATCACGTATATCATTGCCAATTTTGCCATTCAGTGTTGCGTCTAGAGGAGGAGTAGTAGGTCGTACCAAAGCTTCAGATACTACACCGTAATGAGTCACTAAGAACAGGTAAAGAAAACATATCAATAAGCTCATCCATCATACAGATGAAAGGTGAGTGCATTGGTGCACTTAGAACGAATACAAGACAAGACGGTGAGTAAAGACTGCTTGTATAGCATCATTTCAATCCAGGGAGAAAATTGCAGAGATACAGGCATGAAAAGGTTTGTCATTGACAAACACAAATGAAACGATATATTTGAGAGGATAGAGACTCTGATTTGGATATCCTGCGGAAAGCTCAACGTTGACGTCTCTATCTACCTCCTCTGTCATGGTTGAGCTTGAGTAAAACAACTGATTCAAGCTGACTCATCTGATTCGTACGTAATGAGGTAACTTGTCTATCTTCGTTGTCAAATCCGAGCGTTTGTATTCCAATCCATGAGTCACTAGAAAAAGAAGATCATGTTCCCAGCTATTGTTTGACATGATAACGTTACAGTTGCTCGATCATATGCAGATATCAAGGTCTTGTACCTAGAAACGTATACGTTGTGTAAACAAAGATCACAAACTCTTCGTTTTCTAGAAGTAACAGCGCGTGATGTAGTAGTTGACAATTTTGTACGCCTTTTGAACAAGGCGTACGATGGGATTTCATAGATGTATCTATCTCCTGAAAACAATGGAAACGTAAAAACATCATACCAATTAGCACTACTTGTATAAATTTGATAACGTCAAAGCAAGATGTTGTCTGTCATATGACAGACGTGATGGAAACCACTTGATAGCTACGATACGAAGCATACAAGTTTATGGTAAAGCTCCTTCCCCCATCTAAAGACCGGATCTTGTAGGACCTTTGAAGCACGTTGAAAATGACGAACTTCTTCTTCACAAAACCCATTGCGTATAGAATCTACGTATGACAATATTCAACTACAAAGCTAATCATCATCATAATCACGTCTCTCTGTGTATGTACTGCTCGCATAGTAATACGTTGGTGCTGCTTTAACTATACTGCTCTCGAACTTTGAGCTAACGTTGTCTTGAGCAGTAGTATACAATGATTTGTATGATAATCCCACCCACGGCGTGTTTTCGTCATTGGTTAATCTCTATGTGACGCTCGCACTGGTCGGCCGTTTCTTGCGCTTATACACAATCATTTCTACATTTGCCAGCTAAGACACAACCACTTTTTCCTACCTTCCTGAGTGATCAATCAACTGTCAAAGATCTAAAGTTGCGACATCTTCGATCGAGTGTCCAAGTGTAGCTATTTATCCCAAACTTCAGGCTTCAATATGACAGATACTTCATTGTTTATACTACAAAAGTCGCAACAAAATGACACGATACAAGAATCCGCTCCTCTATTGCCCAAAGCAGATACGCTGCAACCAAAAGACGGCAATCCGCTCTATTTATATCTACTCACGATTTGCTCCACTATCGGTGGCTTTCTCTTTGGTTATGACACGGGGGTCATTTCTGGAGCTCTAGTATTGATCAAAAGTCCTGAAGTGTTTAATCTTACAGATTTCGAGAGTGAAGCGATCGTGTCTGGTGCAATTGGGGGTGCAATCATTGGTGCAGCTTTGAGCAGTTGTGGCAATGATATGTGTGGCCGGCGTCGTGTGATTTTACTGTCCTCTGCCATGTTTACAGCTGGTTCAATGCTCATGGCGTTAGCTCAATCATTTGAAGAGCTGCTTGCTGGACGTCTCGTTGTTGGAATTGCAATTGGATTTGCTTCTATGACAGTGCCATTGTATATTGCTGAGGTATCACCACCAAATATCCGGGGACAACTCGTTTCGCTAAATAATGCATGTGTCACGGGTGGACAGTTTTTTGCTTGCGTACTTGATGCAATGCTTGCCGGTGCGGACAATGGCTGGCGCTACATGCTTGGACTGGCAGCGATCCCTGCCTGTATGCAGCTCCTCGGTTTCCTTGCTCTGCCAGAGTCTCCGCGGTACCTCATGAGCAAAGGAAGGAAGGAAGAAGCTTGGAATTCTCTTATCAAGATTCGAGGCACCATGGACGTCTCAGTTGAATTTGGCCACGTTGAAGATGAAGTGGAACGTGATCGCTATGAAGACAATAACGTATGGGACGAATTGCGATCTCCTGCAGTCATCCGTGCACTAGTTCTTGGTTGCATTATGCAAGCACTCGCCCAGCTCTGTGGAATTAACACAGTAATGTACTACGGCGCTACTATAATTCAAATGGCCGGATTTACGGATCCCACTACTGCCATTTGGCTTTCCGCGCTCGTCTCTTTCAGCAACTTTATCTTTACATTTGTCGGAATTTATCTTGTGGATCGCGCGGGTCGTCGACTTTTAACTCTCGGAAGCCTAGCAGGTGTTTTTTTCTCACTAGTTGCTCTCGGTGGAAGCTTCTACGTGGCAGAAATACAATCGATGGAGGTGATGGGCGTCGGGGAATGCTCGGAAGCCTCGACGTGCTTCGCTTGTATCGCGAATGCCGCATGTGGATACTGTTCCGAGGGCTCGCTTGATCGAGTTTTTGGAGTGGTTAACCCTACGAATACAAACTTGTGTATGCCAGGGAACGCTGCGTCGACCATGCAAGGGTCATGCTCCATTGCCAACTGGTCCTTTCAATCATGTCCACACGACAGCCGTGCCCCGGGATGGGCTATCTTTGTTGTGCTTTTTGTGTACCTCGCGTTCTTTGCCAGCGGCATGGGCTGCATGCCCTGGACGGTTAACGCGGAGATTTACCCTCTTCGCGTTCGAAGTTTTGCTATGAGTCTGGCGACTTCGGTATGCTGGGTCTCAAACTTGCTGGTATCATTTACATTCTTATCCATCGTAGATGAACTAGCTGTTTACGGTGCTTTTTGGCTGTACGCGTCGATAGCATTCTTTGGTTTTGCATACTTATGGAAGGAACTTCCCGAAACGAAGGGCTTGGAGCTGGAGGAAATCCAACAGATATTTGAAGGTCGTGAAAAGCGGTCGAGCTCGGTGTTTTCTGCTATCAGCACCAGCACACACCACACAAATTGAGAAGACAATATCAATGCCTTTGAATTTGCTTAACAGAGGCACAGATTGACAAATAAAAGTTGTTTTGGTATCGACAAATGACGGTGGCTGGTTGGAATGCAATGACTAACAGCTCTTCACAGAATGACTACAAGTAGTATCCTCCTTGGCTTCATTGTGGTACCACTTGAGTACTTTACATCGGCTGTCTTACAGCATCAAAACTTAAAAGCAGCCTCAAGCAAGTTTAAGTTCTCGACAAGCTCCTTCAGGCTTTGCTTGACTATATGCACCGCAAGGTCTACTTTTTTGTTTCAGGGAGTCGTCACGCTCCAATATCTTTGCCGTCATCCAGCGTAACCTGATAAGAGATGTCCCACAGAAACAGCGGAAGAAAGTTACCGTAAACCAAATGAAATTTACCAAACAAGCTTTGCTCAAACACTTATCAAGAGCACGTGCTTTATTGTGAGCTTACTATCAGATTGTTGTGCCGCTGTGTGACTGTACTATTCCAGCTTTAGCGTACCGAGAACATGCTACTGCAATGAAGGCCCAAAGTGAAGGCCGCTACTTGTTTCGAGATGACACTTGACTTGAACCAGGGTGAAGTCTTAATTCAAAGAACAGAATCAACAGGATCACAACCACAAAGTGCAAAATTGTGGGAAGACTGATAGTCTCCAGCACCAAAACTGCCCCTCCGAATTGAACCATGTACGTTCCAACGTCAAGCACGGTGTTCTTTCTCAACTTTACAGCTGCCTCCTGCTTGCTCGCCTGCATTTCTGACACCTGACACTTGCCATCTGATGTATTAGACAATAAAGCATCCACATTGCGACTTTCGCTCACTTCTTTTATGATTGAGGACCTGCCGGGCATTGCCGAGCCTGATGATAATGACCGCTTGTTTGGAACCTTGAACACCGTGTTAGTCAATTTTCCTTGTGCCGCTACCTGGTTGAGATCGCGTCTCGCCTTGATAATCTCACCCATCCGAGCAATGACAAACGGCTGCTCAGCCGCTACTTTTCCAGCAATGCGTGCAGGGATACTACCCTTGAGATCTGTTTTGACGATAGTAGTCACCATGGCACCGTCATACGCTGCATTCGGCACAATCTTGGTGCACGCAAAGTGCAGATCACCACGGACGACTTTAGGTTCTTTGAGAGGGCAGATCTCCAGATCTTCAATACTCTGCGCAACAACAATAATGGTGTCATCAGGTAGTACACGCCAATGCACGAGGTTGCAGAAGTCGCGGCCAGCAACCACAAATTTGGACTTGTACTCCAAATAATCGATGCTTGTATGTGCGTTCAGCACTTTCAATGTCATGCCAAGGCCAAGCTGGTGGTCCACAAGCTTTCGTTTGGCGGCATCAATAAACTGGTCCCAAATGACACGCGGGTGATACGCCAAAAAGCCCACACCCTTCGCCGCTGTCAGCGAACCATCCACCTTAGTGTAGGCTTTGACACCATCTTTGTCGCCAATGAAGTCCCAGGACGATATGTCGTTCAACTCATCTTCCATTCGCGCCACTGCTTTTTCAATTATTTCGCCATATTCTACCGGAACAGCAGGGAACCCCTCCTCCGGTACAACATTCGGACGGTCCATTGAGCGAGATTCACCGTGATCGTCCTGGTCCCCGTCTTTTTTTTGACTGCAACTTCACCGCATGATCTTCTGCCTCATCTTTGACAGTCGTAGAAATGTTGAACAGCGTAGCATTTGTGACGTGTTCACACTGCCGAAGGCTCTTGTCCTCATTCAGAGCCTTCCGCAATCTGTCTACCACGAACGCCTGCTTGATAAGCATCTTGGTCTGAACACGAGCCAGAATGCCCGCTTTTAACTCCACCTTAGTGACATACGTAGCGTTCACGCCCGTATAGTCCTCATTAGGCGTGATTAGGAATCCAGTCATCATGGTTTTGTCACGCATAATTTGCGGCTCCTGACTTTTGACAAAGGTGTCGTCGTCCGCGTAGGTCGCCACAGCGACTATAGATCCATCGGCTAGTACACGCCAATGCGTGAGATTAACGAAATCCCTTTCTGCAGCAGGGAAAATGGCTTTGTAAGTGAAGTGGTCTACCCACGTGTGGTCGTTAAATACATGTACGCGCTGCGCGGCCAGCAGCTGTGGGTCGTACGTATGTCGTCTTGAGAGCTCCAGCACCAGCTGCAGCACCTTGCGCGGGTGCTGAGCAATAAAGCCCACGCCTTTGATCATTCCTAGTCTAGAAGCACGACGTACATAAGCTTTGACTCCACGTTGGTCAGTCTGCAACTGCCACCCATCTGCATTGTCTCTAGCGTGAGCAACAAACTCTGCCACGAGACCTTCCATTCGGTCATAGTAAGCGTCGGGAATGACAGCTCCTGGAACATCCACGAGCTCCTTGACGGACGAATCCACAAAAGATAATACCGAGTCCAATCGCACATTTCTACTAGACGTGTGTAAGCTGATCAATTGGGCAGTGGAGGGGCATAAGTTTGCATTCTGCACCAACGAGGAAGCTTGAAGCAGCGCGTATATCCAGTCTTTCATGCAACTCGGTATCGTGACTGCCAGGTCATAGACCTTGGACATATGAGGCTGTACGATACGAAAGCTGTAAAGGTTCTTATACTCTGTCAAGTGGATATAACTCTCAGTGAGTACGACAATCCCTTTGGACATGGAATCATTTTCTTGCTTATAGTAATAAAGTACTGTGCCTTCCAACAAGAAGAAACGTAAACGCCAAGTACCCAGTACTGTTTTCTTGTATAAATGACCAGCTTTACGTAGAAACAACGATGACTGATGATTTTTCATTAATGTGTCAATGGAATAATGTGATGTATCAATTAGTTCATGGACCTGCGTGTTACACGTTGGAAACGACTTGATGAAGATTGAAAATGTGACAAGCATGAATCAGATCGACTAGGGTATACTAAAAACAAGCTAGCTGACAGGTGTCCCGGTTCTTGACCATAGTCAGTTTCAAGAGGAGATGAGCACATGTCAATCTGTCACTGGGCGTAAAAGGTACATAAACTGTAACCTTCATGTCAAAGTTATCAGATGTATTTGTAGCTCGTAGAAATACAAAGTGTCATATCTACAGTGATAATCTTTATGTCTGTATCGTAGCTAATTTTGACATGATGGCGCAAGATGAGCGCCGGATCAAGTGTATTTGCTTCTCGTTTAACCTTAGACACAAAAGAACAACTCACGTAAAGATTATCAACTTGACACTGACTGTAGCTTATAGGACGACCTTGAAAAAGTATCCACATCTTTACTCCTATCTTTTGTTTCATCCACAGAAATGTTGTCTCTCTTCTCATTGGTCAAAATTTACACTTCAATCGCCATTATTCCCTCGCCAAGCTTTTCTAATGCGTGTCTTCTTTCGCCTAGGCGCGCTTTGCAGTCAATCTCCCACACTTATAGCACTCTCCGCATTCATTTGCAGCAGTATCTTATGTCTCGGTCTCCTCCGCATGAAATTGCAGACAGATCCTCAGGGTCTCTGGGTCCCTCCACACAGTGTCGCTGCTCAGGAACAAGATCGTTTCAATGAGCTTTTTGGACCTTTTTTTCGCATCGAGCAACTTATTTTTTATGTTGACGACACCATTTCCGACTCAGATGTGAAATTTGATGCTGCGACATGTCATGCGACTCAGGATTTGGTCCAACGTCCTTTTTTGCTACAAATGGCGCAAATTCAGACTCAAATTACAAATTTTGTCCTCGATAGCCACGATGATCAAAATGTGTCCTTAACATTAGAGACATTTTGCTATCGACCAGTTCAAGGGAAGGGGTGTTTAGTCACAAGTCCATTTCAATATTGGTTAAGTAATGCAACTTTACTTGCAACTGATCCAGATGTAAAGCTCACTACTGCTTGTCAGACAATTGATACAGAACTTGAATCGTATGCACCATGTATGGACCAAAATGGTATTCCAGTAATGAGAAACGTGGTATTTGGTGGATTATCAAAAGACGATTGCCATGAAAATCCGGATCCATGTGGTGAAACGACACCTCAAGCCAAGGCCTTGATTGTTACGTTCTTACTGTATAATCATCCACAAAATGAGACGTATACACGATACGTTGAGTTATGGGAGAAAGAAGTATTTCTCAAAATTGCAGCACAAGCAGCTGAATCGCTCAAACTTTCTGTGAAGAGAAATAAGCGAAAGGAATTTAGTTGGGACAGTGTGGAAGACCAAGAACTTGCAGATACTAGTATTCAGGGCATGAGACTTGCATACATGGCTCAACGGTCAATTGCAGACTCGTTGGTGGTACAGACTAACCAAAATGCTTTTATTGTCGTAATGAGCTACGTCGTCATGTTCTTCTACGTGTCCGCTTCACTGGGTGCATTTAAAGATCCAGTGCGCTCTCGTTTCGGACTCGGCTTTACTGGTATACTGATTGTACTACTGTCTCTGGGTGCTGCCATAGGCGTGAGCTGCGCGATACTACAAATGGACGTGACGATGATCACGCTCGAAGTTGTGCCGTTTTTGGTGCTTGCTATTGGTGTAGACAACATGTTTATCCTAACAAACGAGTTTGACCGATTATCAGGTCTGCGTGGACTTGGAAAGCTTGATAGTAAACGCAATACGCGTGATCAAGCCGAGGACGAGTCATTGATGCTGAAACAGGTTATGGGAGAAACGATGGTGCATGTGGGACCATCAATTGCTGTGGCAGCGATTGCTGAAACACTCGCCTTCTTGGTGGGTGCACTCACTCGGATTCCGGCGCTTACGAGCTTTTGTGTTGTCGCTGGGCTGGCGGTCGCAGCTAACTTTGTGCTTCAGATGACATGGTTTGCTTCAGCACTTGTGCTAGACTCACGCCGCGTGCGAGCTCGACGGTATGATTTGTTTCCATGGATTAAGCAAAAGGTATCATTCACACCGGCCGCCAAGGGAAAGAAAAGGATTGAGTCCAGCATTCACTATCAGTATGACTTGATTGTCGATGATAAAGATCTTGGTGAGGAATTCTTGGCAAGCCCGAGTAGTAATGCTGGAGTTATCCAACGCTTCGTGGAAAAGACGTACATTCCTATCTTGTTGCGACGCTCTACAAAAGTACTGGTGCTTGTGACTGCCTTCTCGGTAACGATGCTTAGTGCATTTGGCTCATCCAAGCTACCGCTTGGATTAGAGCAAGAGCTTGCGGTACCTACAAACTTTTATCTGCATGAGTATTTCAAGAAGCAAACAGCACTTGGTGAAGCCGGACCTCCAGCATATGTTGTTCTCGACAGCAGAGCTGACTATACGGATGCACGTCTGCAGCGGGATGTGAACATTTTACTAGACGAGCTTTCTGATCTACATCAGTACATTGAGCTGCCCATTTACTCGTGGCTGCACACGTTTAACCAATGGCGCCAAATGCGCTTTTTCCTGCAAGACAAGATTGATCAAGGCATGTGCGATTGCCCGACTCAACCCATAAATCCTTTTCCGTACGAGCTTGCAAACGTTGCGATTGGAGATGCGGCGAGCAACATTTTCTTAGCTTCCGACTTTGGGTATGGTGCTTTGGCTACAGCGAATATGACTCCAAATGCGCTGTTTTACCCGTTGGTGAAGAATTTCACGCGTATTTCCATTGACTCATCCTGTTGTCAACATTTTGGACTTTGTGGTGCTCAGTACGAAGGGGACATTGTTTTCGACAACGACGAGGATGACAATGTGGCTAATCTGACAATTGTTGGTTCTCGGATGCGCTTTCAGTTGAATGCGATGCGCAATCAGACTATGTTTGTGAATTCGTATTACTACTTACATGAAGCGACTAGCCAGTGGAGCGCTGATCGAGCCGCTACTGCATTTCCATATGCTCTTGTGTTCGTATTCGAAGAACAGTACACATATATTCAAGGAGTTGCATTGCAGAGTGTGCTGCTGGCTTTAGCAGTCGTCTTTGGGTGTGTGTTTGCGCTTACAAATGGCAGCTTGCGATTGACTACCGTTGTTACTCTGTGCGTGCTTTCAATGGCCTTTTCGCAGTTGGGGTTCCTTTTCGTGTGGAACATGTGGGCCGGACCTGGCGCTGAAACGTCCATTAATGCAGTCTCGGTGGTGAACCTTCTTGCCTGTATCGGGCTTGGCGTCGAATTTTGCGTGCATATGGCTCATCAGTTTGCGCTCTCACGAGAACATCACATGGGAACAAGTGCCAACGACCACACGCGTCACGCTCTGACCAGCGTCGGTGCGTCGGTCTTCTCGGGCATCACACTCACCAAATTTTGCGGTATTGGTGTGCTTGCATTCGCGCCATCCATGTTGTTCCGCGTCTATTTCTTTCGAATGTATATGGGTATCGTCGTGCTGGGCTGTTTTCATGGTTTGGTCTTGCTGCCAGTGCTGCTTAGTCTCTTCGGGCAGCCCCAACAGTACCCGAACGATCTCAGCTCATTTTTGCTGTCCGAAGAATGCGATGACGAGTTTGAAGACGAAGTGAGCTTATCCAGAAATTAAATGAAACACGGGTGAATCTGATGGTTTGTTCATGCTACAGTGCAAAGCTACTGAATATTTTTGCAGCCGTCGCGGTCGGATGTGTCGCTTTCGTGCTCTTATTTAGCATTTGCAGTCCCACGCGTTCTTATGCGACAATTTCCGACGAGCTTCTGTTGCGTGTCAGGGCTACCGATGGTCTATGTGGTGAGTCTAGAGCGTATTTAATCTTGCATGAACGCAAAGTTCATACCAGCACGTCCACTGTTGGGGCTATATCACTTATGCACTCACTCATTACCATCTCTGACAACACGTAAAATAATAATAATGTCAAACACGAGTTTAATGAATGATTCGACGATCCCCGTTTAGACCAGGAGCGGATGATGTATTAGATTTGAGCCCAGTTACAACGAGCTTGATCTCAGCAGATTCAGACCGACAACTTAAAACTGGCGAAACTGCTTGCGGACGTTAATGGGCTTGGTTTCCGAAGCGGGCTCCACCTCCAGCACATTGAAGCGTACCGTCTTCGCAAGCGGACGGCACTGACCAATGGTGACGATATCACCTTCCTTCACACGGAACGCAGGCGACAGGTGGGCAGCCACGTTCTTGTGACGCTTCTCAAAACGCTTGTACTTCTTTACAAAGTGCAGATAGTCACGACGCACAATGATCGTGCGCTTCATCTTCGTCGAAAGCACGACGCCCTTGAGAATACGACCACGGATCGAAATGTTGCCGGTGAACGGGCACTTCTTGTCGACATACTGGCCCTGGATAGCACTCTTGGGGGTCTTGAAACCCAGACCCACCTCTTTGTAGAAGCGGGGTCCCTTCTTCTTGCCTGCAAACTTCTTGCTGGCAAGAAACACGCCCTGCTGTTTCTGGTAAGCTTTCTCAGTCTGTATTGTCACATCAAGAATAACAACAAGTAGTGAGTCTTCTTACTGTTTTACAATCAAGAAAAAGAAAGAGAGAGACATAGAGGAGAAGATTATGAAGATGAAGAACGAGAGATCTAGATCCCACTTTTTCTCGTTTCTACTGGTGCAGGTTCAGTAAGCAGACAGCTTCTGTGTGGACCAAGAGAGAATCCAAAGGGTTCTGCCGATGATGAGTCGGTTGAAAAACGTTTTCAGTCGTTCGGAGTCTCGCAGTCTCAGCAGAATAGAAAGAAAAAGAATTGAGAGAGAAGAGGTCATACCCAGTAATTGCAACAAGAGACAGATATCACGCTCGAATATCTGTCTGTGACAGACTAATGACATACTCTCTCCAATCCTTATCCTTCTTCCTGCTTTTTGACTCCACAATCACTCAAAAGGGAGAAAGAGAGATCAATTGAGTGATTGCGTGTGGATTACAGCCTTGGTGGGCCATCACCCCAACCAACTAGCTAGCCAGTTCCTTCAGTTCTTCCTTTCTATCTATGATCTTTACTAAATAATCACGAATAGACAGCAGCCAAACCACAAACTCCAAAAACGCCACAGCGAGTAGACCTTTGGTCGAAATCAAACGTTCTCCTTCCCTCTTCTCCAGTCACTTTGTCGTGCCTTACCGCCCACTCATCAGTCTTCTCCTAGCGAAAAACTATCACATTCTTCTGTCCTTCTTCTTCTTTATTTTCTGATTCTGAGCATTGTATTGCAATTTATATAGGAGTTTCAATATACCTGATCAACGTGCTCCATAGTGTCGTCGTAGGGAATAGAATAATGAATGACTGGTCAAAGTGATGGATACTTTTGTTGATTGGCTGTGGTGTGTTACTTTTTAGTGAAAGAAAAGTAGTAAGAAGATAAAACTGCGTGTTTGTGCTCTTACTACTTCATGTGAACCTTGTGAAATCTAATACTCTCCAGCATACATTGAAGTAACATCTATAATGATCAAAACATTCGTGTCCTCTATTGTTAAACTTCATTCTTTGTATGCGTTTAGACCAAATAAAGACAATAGAGCTCTGCTTCCTTCCATTCCTCTACATTTCTTAATGCATTCATCATTATCATCATCCTCCTCCTCATCATTATCAACAACTAGAAAAGTAGCAATCTTGTTTGTATCATAACAACAAAAGAGAGAATCACTCATTCTTCACATTAATAATGTACTGCTGTACTTCCATTGGATTAGCTTTCAAGCCCTGGAGACGAAAGGAGGAATTCTGAAAAGCCCATAGAAAGCCTCCCAAGGACCCAAGGACACCCGTTACTACCATAGATGGTACAGCCACATGACGATGTAGTTTCAATCCTGCAATATAATAAGAAGCATGAAGATATAGTATACATTAGTAGAAGTACTCTCTCCAATGAGACAATAGCTACTTGTGACCTACCAAAGACGTAACCAGCAGGAAAAGAGAAGGCAGTGATACCAAACCATCGAGAGTAGTCACCTATATTAAGATTATTCTTTATGTCATCAAACGTCGGGTGCTTTACAATGACGGGGAAACGTGGTTTGCGCGGATCACGGATGGGGGCGACGTCACTCATGGCAGCAGCGAGTGATCAAGAGCTTTTATCTGTGGTCGATATTATGGATGGAGTTTCGACCAATGAAAACACTGAGTCAAGGTCTAAAACGATTTGGGTCCCAATTGCAAAATTGGGACATTTAAACTATAGCTTCTGTGTATTTCGGGCTAACCTCAAATTATAGCTTATCTCTAGATATAGTTCCGTAAACCCTTTTGCCAATTCTAAATTCTTTATCTGTATTTATTTTTTTTCTACCACAGCTCTTTATTTTGATATGATATATTTTTGGACCCCGGCACTTTTCTATTACATTATATTACGTCGTCTACCAACTTATCACGCTGTGTCTTTCTTGTCTTGATTAAGTTCTGGCAGGTTTTCTTCGTTAAAAACCACACGAATCGTGAGCGAACAGCTTGGGCACATAGCAATGTCCTCGCCACTATAAAGTTCGTCTAGGTCGATACTGAAACGGTCACCGCACGGACAAGGATAGTAAAAAACCTGTTCTTCCTTATCAAACTCCATATCTTCAATCTCCACTTCGTCGTATACGGCCGCCATTGGATGAATGCAATGGATGGTCACTTGACTGCTGCTACCGTAGCCACAAATTGCAACAAGTGACTCTATTTTTCGGCTGTAAAAAGTCAACTGACGTTATAATAGTGTAGGCTGAACAATATGGTATAAGTTCTGAGAGTTCTAGTATCTGTCAATTCAAATAACGATGCACGAGTATTTCAAATCTATAGGTTTTCTAATTATCCCAATATACTTTCAGATTAATTTGTTTTGCCAAATAAACGGGTCAAAAAGCCTGCAGATGGTACTTCAGCATCAGTAGTACCTACAGATGGTCCCAAAGTCCTTATTGTGCCAATAACTGCTGCCTCACCAAGGTGTGTCTTGCGTCGACCACCACCACGAATTGGTCGGATTACGCCATCGCCATTGTAGATAGATCCACCACGAAGTGTTTTAATCACACCAGTATCAGTATTTCCCATAGTAGCCACAAGAGCAGCATTCGTGTGATTCAATTGCGCTTCAAAGTGCGAACGCTGAGCACCACGAAAATCTGCTATCTGGTCACGAAAGTGTGTAAGCTCTTCCACGTGCTTCTCTGCTTGTGCTCGCATGTTTCCAGCCATGATACGGTTGTTGACTTCCACTTGTTTAATGCGTTCATCACGCAGCGCTAGCTTCTTTTTCGCTTCCGACAGCTCCAATTCAAGTGACGCGTATTTTCGCAACAATTGCCGGTGAACAGCGACGAGTTGTTCAAGCTTCTGCTGGATTGAGCGCATATGCTGTCGTTCACGCGCCGACGTAACACTTGAGCTGGCTGTGCTACCGGTTGGAGAAGTAGGAGTCGAACCGCCTTCTCCGGTCGATGCACCAGCACGATCAGTCTGCGCTTCGAGGTTCCGGATTCGTAATATTTGACGATCTATGTCCTCTTGCAAACGTGCCTTTTCGTGATCTGTTGCTTGTTTCAGCGCAAGATACTCCTTTTCGTACTCTCTAAGCTCGGCTTCGAGAGTCATGTACTTGACCTTCAAATTCTGGTACGACTCCTTCTCCATGCCGTCTCGATTCTCCTTTGATGCTTCATCTCCTGATTTCTGTTCTTGACCCTCTGCAGCATCTTCACTTGCACAATCTTGAGCCTTCTCCTTGGTAAACTGCTGGTCTGCTTGAGCAATTTTTTCTGCAGCCGCTGCTAGCTTGCCACCGCCAGCTGCTATTCGAGCTGGCATTTCTTGTAATAACGCGTCGTGCTCGCTCTGTATTGTCTCCGAGTGAATCAAAAGTTCTTTGTGATCAAAGTTAAGCCTGTCAAAGTCTGTGCGCAGTTCCGTGTACAAAGTCTCGCGTTGTCGAATCTTCTCTTCTAGCATCGACTCCTGCAGTTCCTTTACGCGCTGTAGCTCCTCCGACAGCACGCGCTGCGTCTCAAGCGCTTGAGCATGCTCCCCAAGCTTAGCCGTAAGTAGTCGGATCTCCTCACCGCGTCGCATCGATTCCTGTTTCTCCTCAGCTAGCTCTTCTTCAAGCTGGGTCACCTTCTCCTGTAACTCTTCCAGCGCACGCCCAGCTCGAGCTGTAGGCAAGAGCGATGATTCTAAAGTTGCAGTATCGGACACGTCCAGCTCTACATCGGGTGCATTGATATCATTGTCAGGCTTCATTTCCACAACATCACTCGAGGTTGTGGCACTAACAGCAGCTGCCGCATGTTCGTCTCCGTCTGAAGCTTCCTTCCCTGCCAGGCGGGCTTCAAGCGCGATAATATACGTCTTCTGCTTCGCGATTTTCTTCTCGGCCGCAGCAAGTAGTGACTCGTACTCAGCCACGCTGCGCTGTACGTTGACTACTGCCTTGTTCTTTATCGATTTGGCACGCATGCCAAATCGCAGCGTAGAGATTGTTTCCGACGCATTGAAGCTGCTTGGTGAAACATTGATGATCAAAGCTGTGCGTGAGTTGCCACCGATCGATTCCTGCAGTACTCGAGTAAGCTTACTGTCACGATATGGAACGTGGGTTATATGCGAGTCTGTAAGAGCATTAATGACCATCCCCAACGCCGAGAGTGACTTGTTGATCGTCTTAGCTTCTTCAAGCTGACGACCTGTTGCCCCAGTCTTGCGCACCATTTCAGAGCCGGCAAGATCCACTAGATACAATTTACCGGCCTTCGTGGCCTGATTTTCCAAATTGCGCTGGAACAGCGTCACCATAAAGACACTATGACTGCGCGAACTTCCTTCATTCATTCCCGTTGCAGCCACAGCACGGTTAGCAGCACCTGCTCGCATAGCAGCCAGCAGCTCGTCGTCACTAGTTACACACATTTCTGTCATCCCTTCGACAAAAATGCCACGCTGTGCGTCCTCACGAACTTGAAGATTCACCTTGGACTTGTACGGGTCAAGCAGGTCGCGAATGCGCTCCATATAGATCTCAATGTAGCTCACTTTCACGATAAATTCTATATTCTCGTCTGCATTCATGACGTTATTGAAGATCGCTGTTGCAGTACGTGGGATAATACCCTGTAGTTCTGGATGATCAATACTAGCTCCTTCCATCGTATATGTCTTACCTGACGATGTTTGACCGTATGCAAAAATAGTAGCATTATATCCATCCATAATATCTACAAGGAGTAACAACATCATTCACAAATGATTTGTCATCAGTCCATCATCACTTTTAGGTCACGTAATTGAACGTATCAAATTGTTTCCATCTTGTACCTTGGACAACTGGAAGTGCGACACTTTCAAACACAATCTTTTGATCTTCTTCTTCACTAAAAACATGATCAAATGTGAATTTTTGTGGAGTTCCTTCATTGGTCTGTAGCAATATAAACATGCATACAAAACAAACAGAGAGAGAGAGGATTGTCAAAGGTGAGAGACCTAAGAAATTGAGCGACATTTTCTCTATAGTGCAACTACTCGTAGTATTAAAGTCTTTCTTACTTTTACTTCAATTGTTGTATGATCGGTAAAGACACAGCGTTGGGCGGTGGCCATTGTAAGCTCTTTTTGCATTCTGTGGACGTATTCGACAACAAACACGTACATGGCCCATTTCATTCTATAATATCAAACAGTTAAGATTAATATATTATGGCAATTACTAGATAGAAAATAAACGATCAAGAGCACAAACGTTTGTAGATAACGGGCGGGTCATTCTACTAATTAATCGCAGTCTATCGATCTATCGGTCTGTCGATTACGTCTGTCTGTTTGTCTATTATAGTGAGTGACTGACTACAGAGTGAAGCTTTTGAAATGGTAATGGGGGTTTTATAATCGTACTTAGATGAATAGTAGCTTCAATAAGTGACAGAACGAAGTGAGTGAGTGATTACTCATCATCATTATCAAGTGTGAGTGTTAATAGGACGGGATAATGCACGTCACATACGTAATCACACCGCGTTTGCTGATATTCGACATGTTGACAGACAATGTGAGGATCATAATCACGGGATTCTTGAATACTAAAACCATAACACTTGGCAATCATGGAAAAACGCTCCATGGAACCATTACGGCGTGGCTGTAACAATAAACACCGTCCTGATTTAGGACGTAAGAGACTCTTGATCGTATATGCGAGGTCTTGGTGGAAATCTTCAAAGAATAGACAATCACTGGCAAACACGAGATCAAACTGGTGCTCCAAGTCCTTGCAACAGCGGACGTTGCGGTCCCAACGCAATAACTCGGTTGAAATCACGACACTTTCATCATAAATTGAATTCACATGATGGATCTTGTTCTCTTCAATACATAGCTGCAAGTTCTTCACCGACAATGGGTTGCCATCTGTCACTACAATCCGTTGAAGCTTTACTGGTGGACAAGCAAGCAGTCCTAAGCTAGCAAGTCCTGCCATGCCACTGCCCAATTCACAACACGTGATGGGTAGATAATTGCCAGTTGCATCTCGTCGCTGTACTTGTAAACACACATTGCTAGACAGTAAGTAGGACAATAGAACCTGCTCAGACGGCCACGTCCGGATGTTGCCCGTGTTGTCCACGCCATGATTTACTTGATGGCTCAGCAGCTCCGCCATTGATACGCGTGGCTTTATATCATTGCGCTTCTCATGCACATATATTTTCTTGGTTTTATTTGCTTCAACTGGTACATCATAGACCATCCATGTAAAATTCGCTTGTAAAGGAGAATGCATCCGTAAAAGTTGTACTGTATCAACCTCAGTCTTTTGATATAGAGAAAAGAAATCAGTGGCAATGGACGATGCAGTTGTATCATATACATCAGTTGATGATACACATGTCTCATTGCTGGTGGAATGCAGCAGCGCATTGCGTAGTACGCGCCAGTGACGTCTTGTGGTCTCCGTTCTAGTCATATAATGTCAAATACCGGTACAAACTGGGGTTGCTACCGATTTTTTTTCTGAAGTAACACGTTTTAAGTGTATTGTCACTATGCACTTTAGTGACCCTTGACGATCTTTTCTCACTTCAGAGTGCACGAAAACCAAAACAAGGTAAAAATGCCGCTGGAATCGACAATGATATGGTACGTTTCCTGTCCTTTTCCATGCATTATAGAGCATCATACGTATAGCTCTTTCTATACTCTTTTATTTCATGTAAGAATGATTATCAACGGTTCAATATGGACGATTCTGTACTACTTTTGCTACAGTTTGGACAACTCGGAATGGATGCGTAATGGGGACTACATTCCCTCGCGTCTAGAGGCTCAACATGATGCTGCTAATCTTTTATGTGGTACAAAGACTCAAGCAAATCCAGAGAGTACCGTGGGTGTACTTGCTATGGCTGGAAAGAGGTTGCACACAACAAACAAACTGTGAAGGAAGTTTTCTGTCTTGAGTTTACGTCGATTAACTTGAAACATGTGTAGCATTCAGGTCCTGGCATCTCCAACGGATGACATGGGATCGTTGCTAAGTGCTATTCATCGTGTACAAATTGGTGGAACAATGAAGCTTGCAAATGCCATACAAGTAGCGCAGCTTGCACTTAAGCACCGACGCAATAAAACAGGTGGAAAGAAGCTAGTGTCGAAAATAGACGAGGTTGGAAATGAAGAGCAATGACACTAAGTGTGTCATCTTTATGTGTCTTTGTAGGTGGTCAACGCGTAGTGGTATTTATTGGCTCACCCATTGAAGAAGATGAGAAACAGCTGACCAAGATTGGCAAGCTACTTAAGAAGAATAATGTACGTCATGTCGGTTAGAAGCCATTTTGATATGTGCAGTAGCACAAACTCATGCTGTTTTGTTTTGTAGATTGCTGTTGATGTGGTCAGCATGGGCGAATTGGATGCCAATGCTGCTAAATTGCAGGCATTTGTAGACGCAGCCAGTAGTAACAACAACAGTCACCTCGTGACAGTACCAGCAGGAGTACTGCCCTCGGATGTACTAGTATCGTCACCTGTACTACACGGAGACGATGGTGCTGCTGCCGCAGCTGCTAGCGGTGGTGACGGTGGCAATGATTCTTTTGCCGAGTACGGTGGCGTGGATCCAAGCATGGACCCTGAATTAGCCTTGGTACAAAACGATGCTTCATTGGTAGTGTAAACTTTACATGACAGGGTATTGAGCTAACATGTTGCTGCCTTGCAGGCTCTACGTGTTTCAATGGAAGAGGAACGTGCTCGCCAGGAGGCGGCCCAAAAGCGCGCAGCCGAGGCTGAGGCTGTTGTTGCTCCTGCCGCAGCTCCAGACTCGGAGCTTCCTGCACAATCCACAGACGCCGCATCTGCAGCAGTGAAACCCAAGCAACCTACCCAAATGTCACCATCCGCGACTGGAGCAGCTATGATCCCGACGGCCACATCGGCGCCTCTTCCAGCACCAGCGTCCAACTTGCCGTTTATGGACCCTAAATTTGTCAATTCATTGCTGTCAGGATTGCCTGGCGTGGACCCAAATGATCCAAAGATTCAGGCTGCTATGGCGCAGCTGGCGAAGAAAGACGAGAAGAAGGATGACGACGACGAGGAGGAGAAGAAGGAGGACAAATAGAAGGTGAACCAATTAGGTCGCGCTGGCGTACCGCTTGCGCACCATTAGTCAATTCCAGAAACAGAAGTTGAATCACATGTACTGGTTTGCCCATAAGATGATGTATCTTCATTCGTTTACGTGTTTCAGGTCTTTTTCTATGTATGTAATGCTTTATGATTGGTGCAATGATATTGAAGCTGCCTATATTTCGATCAACAAATGTACATTAGTGTCGCTGCACCATTTGTTTTTACCTCGTCCCATGTCCTGAGCTCCTCATATAAATTACCAGTATTCTGACCATAACGACCCTATGTCTAGCTCTATCATTAGTCACATAGGACGAAAAGCTGCCTGACCCCATCGATCGATCGATCGTTCGATCGTTCGTTGTCATCTATTAATCAACTTGAATTCACTCTTGTCTTTATTTTTACATCCTAAAGCTACGAACTCATTCTACTTATTACCTTGCATTCGACCATTGCGTGTTGAAAGCTTGACAAGTTTCTACACCTTAGCATTGAATCATGGTTTTGCTGTTTCGACGCAAGGAAGTTATCGTAAGCGATGAATCAAAGCAATTTCTTACTTCCCTACCCGCTACATATATGAACCTACTTCGTAAACGAAGACAGTTCTTACGTCTATGGAGCTCACATAGATACTGTGTGTTGATAAAATCAACGTTTTTGATCTACTACCGAGGTTCAAAACTTGACGAGACGTTGCAATCAGGCTTTTGGCAGTTGAACAAAGTCAATTATCTGAATCTTCAAACGTGTACGATCAAGGTCATCACTACTGATAACTCAATTGGTTATATGGTATGTATTCTTCCCGAGTCCGGCAAAGGTGCTATCTATTTTGCTGCTGATACGGAAAAAGACCGTGCTAAGTTTGTAGCACAAATGGATGCAGTACAACAACGTATGCCATCGCTGAATGAATTTACAACGCACAAGTTACTTGGTCGTGGTCACTATGGACGTGTGATTCTGGCCTCGTATGCTAGAGATCGGCAATTGTATGCCATTAAAGAGATGAAGCTTGGTCAAGTGAAGGCAAAGGTGGTGTTTGCAGAACGAGCTGTTATGGAGTGGGTTGGAAATCACCCGTTTATCATGGGATTGGATTATGCACTCGTACGAGGTCGCTCGGTGTTTCTCATTTCTAAGTTCATGCAAGGCGGTGATCTTTTTTTGCACATGCAAAAGAACGGTGGTACTTTTCAAGAAGATGCCGTACGTTTTTACGCTGCTGAGCTATTGCTGGCGCTTGAGCACATGCACAAGATGTGTATTTTGCATCGTGATATTAAACCTGAGAACGTGTTGCTCGATAGCGATGGACACATTAAATTGGCAGACATGGGCTTGGCTAAGCGGTTGAAATCACGAGAAGGACGTACGAAGACCATGTGCGGTACCGACACGTACTTGCCACCTGAGATGGTTGGGCGCTATTCTGGTGGTCATGGTCTAGCTGTTGATTTGTGGCAATTTGGCTGTATCCTCTTTGAGCTGCGTGCAGGATACCCGCCATTCTTTTTATCCCAGTCGAGTGAAGAGAGCACACACCAACGAATATTATACCAACCGGTTCACTTTCCAAAGAATGTATCTCCTGAACTCAAGAGTTTGCTAGTGGCGTTACTCAAAAAGCGTCAGGAAGATCGATTGGGCTATTGTGGTAAAATTGCCGACATTAAGGCACACGAGTTTTTCGCAGGTGTCAATTGGGACCAAGTTTTGAATCGACAAAGTAAGCCACCACTTGTACCAGGCCCTCCTGGTGATGACTTGGTGGGCAACTTCGACCCGCAATTCACACAACAGCCGCATACAATTTACGCACCAGAGGAGATTGCGAGTTGTTTTGAGCATGTTTTTGCTGGTTTCGACTACGTTCGCCCATTAGCCCCTAGCGTGTCGATGGTATCTAACACGCGTAGTCATATGGCAGCATCACGGGCTTCTTCCAGCCGTGCTAGCACCAGTAAGGACATGAGTGAAAGTATTGACTCCACCTTTGTATCAGCAGACCACGTGCGCTATGAAACAGCATAGCAATGAGATTGAGAAGGGATCTGAAAGACGACTCGGTCGGAGTCAAGTCTAATCGTGCAAGCAACCGGATTGTACGACAGCTATTTATCTATAATTCTTAAGCAACATATATTTGTAGTTACGCATTGGTTGTAGGTTGCTAATGCCAGCAGAAATATTCATGACGTTCACTTCCATCATAAAACACCTTAACAGTTGCAAAATATATATCACGATATCGTACAGTCACTACCGTCCGAGGCCTTCCGTCGTTGACCACTACGCATTTGTTGCTGCTGCAATTGTTGCTGGTGTATTTGCTCTTGCTCACGCTGGTACTGACGTGTCTCTGCATCGATTTTCCGCTTTTGTTCCTGATAGTATTGCTCTGCCTGCCGCTGGGCCTCCAGTTCCTCGTCCGAAATCATCATTTGCACATCAGACGCAACAGGGACGAATGCGCTCACACTCGTTATGGAAGTGCCGTTATCAGCTTGCCCGTTGTTATCATTTCGAGTGACATTCTCTTCTGATTTACCATTTCCTGCTTGAGCTTGTTTCACAGCATTGACATCATCGTTATCGGTTCCAATTGGCTGCAAGTGTCGAGATGTTACCAGCTTGTTCCCGCGTGCTGCTTTCTCTTCTTCCTGCTGAAACTTCAGCGCCAACAAATAGTCTGGATCGACATTGTTGGCAGTTTGTTCGGCATAGACCCCGGGCAGCCCGCCACTTACTGTCAGCCCACTAGCTTGAGTATCGCTCCCGTTGTTTACACCTTGCTCCACATTATTATGAGGAACACAGCTAGTAAGACTTAAGGCCCGAGCACTTTGTAATGCCTGTTGTTCTTCCTTTTCTTGCTCTCGCTGCCGCTGCTGCTGTGTGAATATGCTTTTCTGTTGCTCGGAAAACGTTACGGGTCGAAATTGTGCATCAAGATACTCAGTGTCACCGTCGATTTCGTTCAGTAGCTCCCACACTACCGTAGGTTCGTCAAGGTATCCAGCATCCGTGACTAACAAATACAGCGCGCCGTCAAACTACATGTAGTTCAGCAACAAAATACATTAACATGGTGCTACGTATCACGACAGTAAAAAAATCGAGCGAGATCAACATCGCTCAACACCTTTTCTTGCATACCTTGAAAAGAGTAGAGAAATGGTTGTTGCGAAAGAAAACACAAAGCTGACGTTCTCGAAGACCTTCGTGCAGCTTAATCAGCCCATAGTATGTGAGTTGGCTAGCCGTCGAGTTAAAAAAATTCTCAAGAACTGGACCTTCTTCCAAAAGCGTTCTTGCTGTATCCAATGCATCAGTGTCGCTGATATGACGCTCCTTCATCATGGCCTGAACAGTTTGCTGTGACAGACACTTTTTTGGAGACGACCTTGACGTAGTCGAGTTACAGGGCCCCGCTATATTTAATACATCAGCTGTAGCATTATCATCAATCGATAGGTTCTGGAATCCCGTTACATCGGTCCCTAATGGCACCGGAAGAGAATCCGTCTGAGGTTTTCCCTCCTCTTCTTCCTCTGACTGCACTGCAGTATCTGACGACGGCGCTACGTCTTCCTGATTCTCCACTTTCGATGCGACATTGTTGTTTGCTTCTTCCGTCATGATTACACCACGATAATCCACCAACCGTTCAATCAGTTCATTGTACGATTTGTTCCCGACCACTTTCATCTAAATATCATCACCAATACACACACACAGTCATAAGGTCAAGTATGCTACCAATCGCATAAACACAGCACACATTTTCATTCTTCCTACAAACGTACTGTCACATCATCTTGTTCATCCAATAGCCATCCATGTACCAATATAATATCCAGCATATCAAATACTGCACATGCTACTGTATATTCAAAATCTGTAATCCTACAAGGGAATAATATATAACCCAAATTAGTCTTACTACAAGTAGATCGTATCTCTTCATCTACTTCTAATACGATACAACTTACTTGTGAAAGCGCACATTAACATCTAGTCCCACTAACATACTAGGAAGTACTTCAATCACATCCTTTAACGTTTTTTCTTGTGTCAAACGTTGTAATTCACTTGCATGATGTAACTATATCCAATCATCACATACATACATACATACATACACACACACTTGTTACCTTTATACATAACTATCAATATACACATGTATATACATGTGTATATGTATACACATATACACATGTATACACGGTCACGAGTTTACTATAATTCATACAGGTGGATTTGTATCCAATAGTCGAGTATGTACAATTTGCATCAAGTCCTGGGCACTGACAAGAGCATTTGATGACTTGACAATTCCTTCAAGTGTTAATTGTCCACGTAATAATAATACATTGGCAATCGCTAATAATGGACATGGACCATTATAGTTTTGACAGATATAGGATACATTTTGCCCAAGAAATTGTGTGTTTTTAATAGCATATACTTCATCCATGAGCTTAAATGGGCTTTAATATTTGGGTTTAATGCTACTTTTTTAAGATAATGTCGTAGATTAGAGAACTACGTTACATTCAGATAACTTTCTTCTCCGTACCCCTTTTGCAATTCGTAACCATTTTGGAAATCCAATGGATGGAAAAGAGATGGAACGTGAACGACCAAAACTACATGATCCTCATATCCCACGCTTTCCTGTCATATATCCGAAACCAACCTACGAGCAAGTACGTGATAACATCAGTCAAGAAGATATGATTCAAAGTGGGATTGTAGGTCTCGTGTTGTTTCCGCTTGGATACATTGTCGGTGCGTATAGTTGTGGACAACTTGGGTAAAATGAGGCTACACGTTACGCTACTAACGTATGAGGAGGATCGGTATGATGGATATACTTTTGTAGCTCGTCAATTAGATCGCAGTTTGGCACGTCCTGGTATGTGGTTTACTGGTATTCTTGGTACAGTAGGTGGTGTTATGTTGGCATATCAGAACTCGTCACTGCGTCTGCAGGGATTTGGACGCAACGACAAAGAAGTGGCACGCTATCAGAAATATGAAGCAAAAAACAACTAAATGGAAGACAATACCGAGACTTTATTGATACAGATTGAAATCAAAAAGCTTGCGGATGCTTATAATGAAGATGTTTTGGTCTCTGTGTATAGACTGCCGCAACGATGGATTTTTCTATGACTCTAGCGTTGCAGTTCAAAAGTGTCTCTGAAGCATAATGTAAAAGTGTATTGTATGGCTCTTTGGCAATGTAATAAGGTTTAGCACTAACTATATGCGATCACATACTTACATTAGAAGGCAACACACCTTAGCTCTTCAATTAAAGTATCACTGCTTATAGTCATTATTCAATTCCCTATGACAATATTATCAAGCACGTTGATCAAATTATTGTCTGTCTCTTGTTGTAATTGCTGGTTATGAGCTCTCGTCTCTCATTCCTTTTTATTCTGCACGCAATCCAGCCCTCGCTTGTAGCCTACATCGAAAAAGCAGAGTGAGAACATCTTTGCGAAGGTTAATGATATGCCAAGGTTGTTATATCCACAGAACGAGAGCCTTGGTAGCGCTTCCACTTCAGAACTGGTCTTCGCATGGCAACCAACAAAGTTTGTGACCGCTACTTCTGGGTGTTGAAAGCCTTTTTCGCACAATCCGTAGAAAAAACGGAGGTGAAAAAGCTCAGTCGATGCTTGAAGTTTCAAATTGATGAAAAATGACTGAATCATACCATTCGGTCCCACAATAGGACAATCCGGAGCGGCAACCACTCGATAACAAAAACTTGCTGTCTGGGCACCAAGCAAGGCAGCAGTAGGTCCATCAAGGCTTTGCAACACGTGATGAGATTTCACCACGAACTAATTTACATATTCAGAAGTCAGATTCGTAACGAGATTAAAAAATCCCGCAATATACTTACCTGCAATTCTTCACGACAATTTGTTGCCTCATCATACCACTTAAGCTGCCACACACGACTGGCCCGTCACTTGACACGGATGACAAGATATCTCCATTAGGCGAAGACGCCAACTTCCACTCGTCAAGCTTAATGCAGCTCATGAGAACCTCCATACACTCTAATAATACACACATGAAGCATAAGCGGTGGAACTTGTAGATTTGTCTCGATTCCATCACCCTCAGTCTCTGCCAAGACACAACCGCAATAAGTTCTCCTATTGTACCTCTCTTTGTCAATCTTAACTAGCCCGTACACTCCCTCTGGGATTATCTCTTCTGGACTAACCAGCTCCTCATCTTTCTGATGTAGCTCCACATCCTGCCATGGCATGTATCTTTGTGTTTCATCACATCTGCATCTCTACAAAGCAGCAACTCTGCAAACTGCATCACCTTGTTTCATTTGGCTCGTAAATTGGCAGAATCTCGTTTTAAAACGAATGCAAAGCTAATGCCAAATATCTGTACAGTAGAAAAGCAATGTATTTTCTCTTTAGCAGCAACAGTGCGCTTCTTGTGTGCGATTAAATATCCAACGTCTCATCGTCTTGGTCTCCACCCTCTTTTGTCACAAACTTCAACGCCTCATCCCATTGATGCTGAGCCATCAATTGCTGCTACTATTCCATAGCTGGAGATCCTAATGTAATGCAGGCTTCTTGCTCCAGAGCGGCGACTGTGTCTTTAATCCGAAATCATATAGTTCACGGAGCAAGAGACGCGTCCACTTCTTGCGTCGTTTTTGGTGCATAAAATTCGACATCGAGTTGAATGAGACATCAGTAGAAGCTTCTTGAAGTGAGAAAGACGGAGAACGCTTGCGTTGGCGTCCTTGGGCGAGAGCAAAAGTATTCCGGTCTTCTACGTGAAACGTTCTTATAACTCAAAGTTGGCTCGTGGTGAGATATTTACGTTATGTAGATGGAATGTATCAACAGAATGGATAAATTTTGATAAAAGTTGTAGTATTTTCCATAGTATTTGCCATACACTTACAAAAGATAAAAAATCAGATACATTCACATGGAAAGTATTGAAAATTAACAATTTTTTTTTTTTTTTTTTTTTTTTATTATTTTTTTTTTTTTTTTTTTTTTTTTTTTTTTTTTAGTTTTTTTTTTTTTTAAAAAAAAAAAAAAAAAAAAAAAAAAAAAAAAAAAAAAGGGAAATTAAAGGAAAAAAAAAAAAAATTATTTTTTTAAAAAAAAATAAAAAAAAAAAAATATTTTTTTTTTTATTAAAAAAAAAAAAAAAAAAAAAAAAAAATTTTCTTCTGCGAACGAGCGAGGACCATATATAAGCGAGTGCGCTGCTGCGATTCTGGAGCGCATTGTCGTCGTTGGACAGCCCGTAGTCTTCGCCCAGACCTCGAGCTGCGGTCGCATCATCACAACCCGGTTGCGCATCACCCCACACAACGCTTTTGACATCTGGTGAATGGGGCAGACGGAATACGCCTGCACGTTTCCATTACCTTCACCACGCTACTGCCACTCAAGTTGCACCGCTGGGCGATTGCTGTCCTTTAGTCCTCACCGCACCTGGATAATGGGGCGTCTGTCTTAACGCAGCTGATTCACTCTCGCTTCAGCAGCCTCCGCCGTTATGCAATCTTTTGTGTGGTCACCGGCCCAGGCGTGATTGAAGGGAGCCCGTCGATGTCGCCTACGACAGCTCCCTGCCGCTGACTGAAACCAGCTCTAGGATTACGAGAGCTTATTGGGGCATTCCTGCGCTGGAAGTAGACACCGACAAACCCCTTGCCGTAAACAGCGTAGTCTGAGGGACACTGAACACGTCTTCAAAGCACACTCTAGCATCCACGATTTCCTCATGCCACGCCTCGGATATTCCAAACGGCAGCCTATAGGTCTATCATAACCGACTGGCGTACACCCGTTGCAAAGAGGATTTGAAAAACCTTTTGTTGCCATTGTTCACCGTCGGCAGCGAATAGGCGGCAGCGAATAGGCGGCAGCGAATAGGCGGCAGCAAATAGGCGGCAGCAAATAGGCGGCAGCGAATAGGTGGCAGCGCGACCTCGCGGACCGGGACTTCCAGACCAATGCACCCTCACAAATTATTGGGCTGACTGAATCTTGACACACCGACAGACCTTCTTTTACTCGATCCTCCGAGAACTCCGTGCTCGACCGGGACCCGATGCGGTGGTGAAGGGAAAATACGACCACCTCTTCTAAAGCTGTCCTTTTGGTCAAGAGACCTTCAAATCCAGAGTAGAGAAGATCGTGCTGCCCGACATGGTATCCAAAACCATGTTCTTCCGCGGAATCGGGGTCTCTGCAGGAATTCTGTCATCGTTCAGCTTGTTAAAGGCGTAAACAATGCGCCATCCTCCGGTCGCTTTCTTAACACAGAAGGTGGGACTCGAGTGTGGAGAGACACTCTCACGGACGTGACCCGCCTAGCTTCGGCTTTCGAAGAAGGTGTCAATCGCATCAACTTGGTCACGGAGAAGCGGCCACTGCCGCGCAACACAATATTTGAAACCTGGCACGAGTTCGATCTCGTGCCGTACACCACGGTCAGCAGGCACGACTGCTGGAACCTTATCCAGGAATACATCAGCAAGCTCTCGTGCCAGTTTGATAACCGGAGTACTCGAGGACGCAAGCTCATCCCATGACTGCGCTGCGAAGCGCTCTTCGCGTGCTGACTTTGGCTCCATCACTTCAAGCTGCTCGTGGTTGGCGAGCGTCGACTCGTCGACAACAACACATAGTTGTTAGATCTCCCCCCCTCTAAAGATCACGCAGCATCTCATCCCACGACACTTCCGGGAGCTGCGTGGTGCCAGACGCGTTGCAAGGTGGACTTGCGACTTGGAGCGAATGGCTGCTTAGGGCCTGTACCAGTCAAGTTCACCACGCTAATCGTTTCGAATGCTGAAGCAGGCGTGGCGTATCGTTCTTGCAGTGGGGAACTTGAACGCGCGCGTCGCTCTCGACGGTGCTGAGACGTTGACCGCTGGGGTGTTGTTCAGGCTTGGATTGTGGGAGCCTTTGCTCGACCACAACTACACTCGACTCAGGGAACCTCTGTTCAACCTGAGTCTTAATCTCGGACACCGAAAGCCACTGCGCTGGTGTTTCATCGGGGCGAACGGAGGCCACTGCCGGTCCGGAACGCGTTGGAGCCACTGCTTGCTCATTACGCACCGAACGCCACTGCGTCGGTGCGGCTTCTGAATCAGGAACCACTGTTCAGCTGAGGGGGCGCAAGTCGCGTGGTTGCACACCGGGCACGAATGGCCGTCGCTCTCTTCGCTGGAGATGTATGTCGAGGAGTCTGGGTCCACGACGGCGACAAGCGGTCATGTTTTCGCCGACCTGGAGAGGTGGGCGAGAACCGCGGTGGCATCGATATTACGTGGCTGAACCGTGCGATTCAGCAAATCGATGTCCGGACGATGCCGTGCAAGCCACGGCCCAAAAATATAGTCGATGGATCCACTAGGGTCAATTACCAGGAATTCATCACTACTCACAAAGCCGTCAAATTGATACGGCACAACTACGGAACGATGTCGCAGCTTTTGCGCCGCTTGACGTCAGCATACTTGACGGTCATCTCTCCCGATTGCTCGCGGACACACAGCCGCGAGGGTAGAATCTTCAAACTTTCGAAAAAGTTATTCGTCGTGCCTAAATCCAAAAAATCACGAAGGGGTGGACTAGCGCCGTCGACACACATACTGAGTACAATAAGTTGCTTGTCATTGCTGGATGTAGTGGAATTAAGCTGCGCGTGGAGCGCAGCGGGGCTAGAAGAAGGAGTCACCACCGGAGGTACGTTTCTTCCAATTCGCCCAGTAGGGCACCCCTCGCCTACTGGTCGCCGCCGTTTTTCGAATGCTCAGGCGGATCAACATGTTCTTCGGATTCGACAGCGGCGAGAACGGGGAGATGACGCGCGGCACACCACCGCGCGATGACCCGGTTTGCGACAACGGAAACACACCAAAGGACATTCCGAACGAACACCACTACTACGCAGAGGCATGGAGCGTCGAGCCCTCAGTGCTTCTACTGCGTCGATTTTCATTGGCTCAGGATTCTATGCTCGGACGTCTGTCATCAAGGTCTTGCGTATGAAAAAGCCACAACATGGTCTTCGCGAGAGCAAAAGCCTCTTCAAGGGAAGGAGGGTCGGCACGCATAAGGCAGTATCTCGTCATGCCTTCGCGCATGCCTAAGACGAAGACGCAAACTTGATACGCCATGTCAACCGGCTCTGTGACGATGCACGAAGCCAGATGCCGTGTTTGTTGAACGTAGTAGCGTATTGAAAGCTTGCCTTGTTTAAGGCCAAAGAATTCGGTACGTAGGCGTGACTCGTCTTGTGATGGCTCAAAAGCCAGTCGTAGGTCACTCTGGAGCGCGTCCAGAGTGGGGAAGGCATACTGGGCGACTAACAGCTTTCTCAAAGCCCACTCTTGCGCCTTATCGGTCAGGCGTGAGAGGAGGAAGTTAACCTTTGATGACATCACCTCGATAAGTCTCGAGGCGATAGCGATATTGATCTCTCTAAACCAACGATTGAGTGGGAGACGATCTGTACGCGCACCCGAGTTGAGGGACGTCTCCATTTTGACCACTTCAATTACTGGAGAACGCGAGGGAGTTTGCACTCGTAGATTCGCGTACCATGAACCTTTGGGCGTCATTGAGTTGTTGGCTCGGTGACGCTGCGTTCAGCAGCGTCGCAACAACAACTTGGCCAGACACCGCTGCGAGGCGGTGAAGGGCTTCCCACTCCACAAGCGTGAGGTGGGGGAACGAATTGTGTTCTAGTGTCTCCATGACAGGTTTGAGGAGCATGTCTTCATCCATCGCGTTGGAAGGTCTAGTAAGTGCTACCAGGTGTAACGGGGCGAGAGCTCCGTTACGCATCTTACACTAAAGTCTTGCGAGGAAGCGTAAGAAGTATGCAGTTTGATTGCATACATAAGACTTTTTAAAACTCTGTTTATTATTATTAAGGTAAGATCTAAAATCCTAAACCTTCTTTGAACCACCCAAATACGTGCCAAATATTAATTGGGTGAAATGGGGCTAGACCCTGCTTTCAACCAATCAAATCATGACACTAAAAGATACGCTATTCGTATCTTTTACTTTTCTTACTTTATGTACCATTCTTAATGTTGTCTACCTCATTATTCATAATAACAAGAGCGTTTTTATTGCCATATAGTACTTGATATAGCGTGTAACGGTACGGCTCCGTTACAAACGTCATTACTAGCTTTCCCTCTACCTGTGCGTGTTATCGTGATAAACATCCGAATGCGTTAGGAACTGTCCATGATACTCTGCACGAAGGACCAAAGTGTTTGGCACGCTATAGAACCCTCCGCCAGGCTCTCAATAGTTCTCCACTCATCGTCGGAATCATCACGGTAAACCGAAACGAAAGCCTTTTTGTATGAAGCTTCACAAACAAGTGTCAGCTTCGCTGTCTCGTCCGGCTGGTACTTCGCCGGATTAAACATAAAACGCGAGTACGTTTGTCGTGATGGAGTAGGAGAGCACCCGGTATCTTTCTGAGTACCCTGTTTCACTTTAGCCGCTTACTGACCGAATACAGATGCTTACTTTCATTTGAGGCGGCTTACGTGCTTGCGAACGATCTCCAGAAATGCCCATTTCGTTTTCGTACAGGTCCCTGATCACTGGTTGAAGTGTGCGATTCCATGCCTCTCAACCTTGGTTTTCGAGAATGCAAGCTTGTTTAAATAGAGTAACTACTTCAAAAAGCTCCGCCCTGGTCAAGCGGGGGTAACGTTTCCGTTTGACGGGTAATTTAGCCTTGTTAACTGCTAATTTGTCCAAGTCCCTTGTTGTACATTGCCTGTATGGGGTGAAACCAGCAATCTAGCAGACCCTCGTCGGAGTGGGCCTTCATCTCATCCCCTAAGGCTGCATGAAGATCGTTGTCGTCGTTAACTAGAGGGGTTTCAGGACATTCCAAAGTGACTCCTTCGCTCTCCGAGTAAAAGTGTTTCCCTTAATCCAGTCTATCCACCCGGGATACACCTTCCGCGCCCGAAGGGGTAAACGCGGTGGCACCCTGTCGGGATGCGCAGGACGGCAATCCAGGTCTGCCGCCAAGTCCTCGGAAAGATGGCTGGGGAGTATTGATCCTCGTTCTTGTCCCTGTTTGCGTATTCGACGCCACCAAATCGTGCTTCCTGTCCTGCTGCGGAGAGGCAGAAGGACCCGAGTCTCAATTGGCGCTGCTGGGAGCGCCGGACGACCTATATTGTCGCCATTCTCGTCTCTCCCGTTGTCAGGAGGAGGGTCGAGCATGGGATGAACGCGCGAGCTGTTTCGGAAAGAACTGTTGGGGCTACCTGTCTAGTTTATACTCACCGCTTTGGGTGCCGTCTGCTGCGCAGATTGGAGAGTGTTGATTACATATGTACGCAGTGCATGCGCTAGAAATTCCGGTTGCACCATTGAATTTGCGTTTCTTGAGTGTACTGTAACTGATCGTTTGCATACAGACGAACTTGGTGGAGAAGCACGTCAGACTGGGCAATTCTATAACCCGCATTTTTGCATTTTGAGAGAGTCGAGTATATGGTTGCAACAGGGCGATTGATTGCGAGATTAATCCTGGCTCTGCGTGCTCGTTGATGGGAAAATAGTGCACGCAAAGGTCATGAACATCAATCCACTGAGATTTATCCACTTGTGTTGTTGTAAGAGAGAGACTCAGCATGCCTATTGACTGTTTAGTATACAACTCCTGGTTGGCTGTAGCGAGATGAAACGCCGGCGTCGAAGGTGCGACGTGTGTCAGACGACTGACGCCTTATGCTCCATGGACGCTTGCCGTGACTGGTGTGGTTCTCGATGCACGCGTGTAATGTGGCCCCGCGGATGACAGCGTCCTACTTACGGTGGTCGTGTCTAACGACGGCTGTCGAGTTGCCGTACTGCCTCGGTCCAGTAGACCATAGACCCTCCTGTGCCGTCATCCATTCTCGCCGCAGCAGACACGATTGCCAGCCTTGATCCAGAGGCTCATGGTCGTGATCGTGCAGAGGAGCGTCCAACCCAAGCCAATCGGCAGCAAAGCCATCAAGTTCGTCAGGGTACCGTTGGGCTACCATTCGTTGGATATAAGACAAGGAGGCGGCTTGATTTGAGCCACAAACACGCGTTTGCGGCGTTGCAACCGCTCAAGCTGCACTCTAGCGCTCTCAGTGGCTCATGAGTCCCGGACAAATCCTCATGCGTCCATGGACATTCCCCTAACAGCGGTTAGTACACCCAGCGGAATGCTTTGGGAATGGCTCGTGATGCCGCAGGGGCTTAAGAACGCCCCTGCTACCTTCAACCGTATGATCTTGCACGTTCTGCAGCCATTTCGAGACTTTGCGCCTAGCTATTTCGACGATATCTTCGTACACAGCCGCGCCGCTGAAGGCGCGACGTACCATGACGTTTATTTGGGTCACCTCCGTAAGGTTTTCGAAGCTATGCGTGCAAATAAACTGTACGCGAATCTGAAGAAGTGTGTTTTCTGCACTCTAGAGATCCCTGTGCTAGGTTCCTACGTCAGCGCCAAAGGTGTTCGCGCTGACCCCGAGAAGGTCGCGTCGATCTGCGCCTGGCCGGAGCCAACGAATTCACAGCAATTGCACTAATGGCTTGGTCTTGCCAATTATCTGCATCATTACGCGAAAGAATTTGCTGCGGTTATTCACCGGCTGTCCCAGTTGTTGAAAAAGGACGCCGCGCCTACGTGGCGTCCTTCTGAAAGCGAAGCTGTCATCAGCTCGAGTTTCCGACTTGGCAGGGCATTCCAAGCCTTTTCATCTCGTTTGTGATGCGAGCGACTTCGCGATTTGTTGTGCTTTGATGCAACATGATGATGACCATACTCTGCGCATCTGAGAGGCAATTGCGTAAGCGTACCCATTTATCCGCTCCTGACGTTTGCGGTAAAGAAGGCGTGGACGTGAAAAATATCCATACCGGGGCTTTGCTCAAAAAAGGAAAACCGGAGGAGTATGCTCTTGTTCAATATCTCAACTTCGAGGATGAACCCATGGGCGACTCCGCTCAGCATTGGGACGTCGAATGGAATTGCGGAAGATTACGATGGCCAACGAAGGCAAGCGTCCAGTTTCTATTAGTGGAAAGCGGAACCGCTATGTGGGCAGCGGCGGCGCGACGGAACCGAAAGTGTTACTTAATCAAGTCCAATTCCTTAGGTTCCTCGGTAAACTGACCAACTCTATCGTAGAATCAGTCATCGTTCAGTGGAAAGAGGCATGGCGGAGGGATTGTCTTCAGGACTGCATCGCGCGCTACCGGACAAAGTGTGCGCTGAAAGCGACGCGGGCTTGGATGGATCAGTGGATGCAACGGATCATAATTCTGAAAGGGTGATAGGCGCCGGTCTGTCTCGGGGATAACACCGACTTTTGGAAACGCATCGTGTCAAGAAATATGGGAATGACGGTCTATTTTAAGGCTGTGCGATTCAATTCGGCGGGTAAAATTGAGTCATCACATTGTGTGCGCTCATATGTATCATGTCAAAATTGGAGAGCTTTTGTCAATACATGAACCAAGGGCTAGCTTCCGGCCAACCATGGAGGCCCATGTCCAGCTCCTGCAACGGGATGCGCAATACAAATCCTGCTACAATGAGGGCGGATCACAGGTTGATTGGTCCAGTAACGATTCAGTGCCTCTGCTTCATCCTGAAAAGCGACTTGGGTTTCTTGTGGACACCAAATATCCGGTCGCATTCTATGTGGCGCATTCCCCCATGCTGCCAACCATATTGGACAAAATTTGCAAGAAAACCGCATACGTTCTGCGTAAGTATCTTTTGAGTCGTAGCTGTTGAAAACTCCGCCAAGAACGCGATTGAAATCTGTGGAACATCAGTCTATCTTGCATGTGTAGACCGTCCGCGTCGGCTTTATCCTCGCTTACAGTTAGACACTATGACCATGTCGTAATCTGAGAGCTGACCTTAGTAGTCAGCGCCGTAGATTACCATTGGCTTCTCGAAGGCGGACGCAAAAAAAGAGCGCAATAGTGGAAGCGGCCTTAGAGACAATCTACGGTCGATTCATCGTTACCTCTTTCTTACTGGAGTCTGGAAACGCGCCACGCTGGCGGGTGACTAGTCTTTTAACACCGAACATGGCCCAGTTGGCACAACCATGGCCTGGCCCCGAGGCAAATTGCGTTATCTGTTCAGGACAATTTTCTGCTTGTTAACGTATACGCACCCAGCGTAAGGGCGGAAAGAGAAATGTTTTTAAGGGGCTGGAAGAGCTGCAGCGGTCCCCCCCAGTCTTTCTAACCGGAAATTTTAACTGCGTCTAACATCCCTCGCTCAACTGGCTGGTGATAATCTCGCCTAGTCGCACTGAAAGTCCATTTTTGGATTCTCTTACTGACATGTGTCAGCTAGGCGACATGCTAGATTTAGTTCCTCACCCGGACGACTACCTGGAGTGGGAGCCATCAAAACACTTCACGTACTAAGTGGGGTCGGCTGCCAGCAGAATTGATCGTTTCTACGTATCTTACACACGAGACCGAGTGTAATGGTTAGAGGCAATTCTTTCTCCGTCAGCTCCGGATTACCAGCAGGTCACCTTGCATATCTTTCTGGGAAACGGGGCCGGCACCGTCTTCCCGGTAAAGTTGCGTACCCTATACGTGGTGCAAACTCGGACGGCACCGTCGCCGAACTCATCGATTGCCTCACAAAAAGTGGCACTACTGAGTTATCCACGGCCTTGACCTGGGATCAAGGCTTCCGCCGCGTCCGCTAGGTAATCACAACTATCACTCGCAGGCTAAGACGACGGCGGACACGGTACATCGCCAAGCTGCGACGGCGAGCGCGACGGCCACTGCTTACCCGATAGGCCTGGCATACAGCTCAATCTGAGGACAACAGGAGGCTTACATCAGCTTGGTTGGCTTGGTTTTCCAACGCACAACGGACAAACTTTGCGCGAATTTCAAACGAGTATCGGACTAGGAGCGTGGTCAAATTGTTACAGCTATTAGGAAACGCCACGGTAACCCGTTTCCAGTCGATTGCAGCGTTGCAGACAAATTTAGTTCTCAATGGGTTCATGTGCTGGGGAAGAGCCACCGTACAGTCCCATTCACTGAACTGCGTTGAGCTTTGCAGCGATTTGTCACTCTTCCTTCGGACAGAGTTGTCACTACCACCGAGAACTGTGCCCTGGCGGCAGCTATAACGGAAGCAGAGGTGGTACTCGAAATACGGGCTCTCATTAGGCAAACATCCCCCGGCACCGATGGCTTAAGGAATGATTTTTACAAGAATTTTTAATCGCTGTTAAAACCACCGTTGGTTGCAATAGCCAATGAGATCATTCACGGTGCACAATCACCTAAGTCGTTTATGGAAGCGCTCATTATCCCGTTACGTAAGAAATGGGATTCCGACGACGCCATGGACTATAGGCCAATTTCCTGTTGCAAACGGGATACAAGGTAACTGCGAAGGTCTCGGCGACGCGTATGCAGCAGTGTCTGTCTCATGTCATCGGTTCTTCTCAACAAGGATTTGTTCACGAACGACAAATGCAAAGACGGTGTCGATGATGCTCGCTCACCTCCAAAGAGTACGTGAAGAGAGTACTTTGAACGCCGACGCCAGCCGTGCCATCGTTTTACTGGATTTTCGAGAAGCCTACGACACGGTCGACCGCGACTTCATAGTAGAGGCGGTCCGACTGTTCGGATTTAGCGAAAATTTTCTCGCGCTCATTCAACGGCTTCATACCAACACGACCGCACGCTATTCGGTCAATGGTGAGCTTTCTTCACTTCGGACGGTGCGGTCTGACATTAAGCAAGGCTGTCCTCTCGCTCCTCTTTTTTTCCTGGTGATAGTCGAGGTGCCGACCGTTGCAATACAAACGTCGCCACATCTTCCCGGGCTCACACTTCCCGGAGAACACACAGAAACCGATATATATTCGGGGTTTGTCGACGACTCTAACACTGTTTCTCCAACAAGCTAGTCTACTACGATCGGCTATGGACATTGTTCTGGAGTTCGGACGGCTTTCGGGGTTACAGATGCAAACGACAAAAAGCCAAATCATATTTTTAAACACGGCTATTCGTCAACTCACGTATCAGGGAATCGCAGTAGTTGCTCCGTCAACAACTACGAGGTATCTCGGCTATCAAGTGGGTACAGGAAAGTTACGCAGCATTAATTCGTCTCTATGTTTCAAAAAAGCACAGCGCCGCCTCCTCACTGCAACGCGAGCATCGACGACCCTCGAGCACCGCATTCTTATCCTCAATGCGATAGTTCTACCCGGGATTTTGTTTACAGCTGTGGTCTTCGAGCCCCAGCTGGGCGCTCACACAGCTGGATCATCTTTACAAACAATTCCTGTGGATGAAGTCCAACAAGATCGATCCCGGGAGACACAAAGTCGCCCCAGGCCTCCTTTATTCCCCGTAAGGCAGGCGGCATTGGCCTCGTTTCGGTCCCAGTCTCCATCAAAACCCAGCGGGTATTACACGCGCTACTGGCACTTACTCGGGCGGAGGAAGTTTAGTCTTCAGCGTGGGTGTCCTGGATTACGAATGGTGCAAACATAACGGCCATGAGTCCGCATCGACCGAGTGTAAAACAGGTTGTATCGCTGTCATCCGAGCGGTATCCTGATGTACTTCATGAGCTCGGATGCACGCTGACGTCAACACCCGCGCAAACGAAGGACATCCTTGCACGGCTACAGGACCATATACCGATCCTTCGGTCATCATCGACCAGCTGGTGAAAAAAGACTGGGTGCTGCATCTCTCGGGACCCATTCCCTGTCGGTCTCAGCCAGTCGAGTTTTGGCTTTAGGAGATCGCAGACTTCTGGCATACTTTTCGGTGGAGTGAAAACCGTTGGATTCTCACACCACAAGCATCGATGCTGTCCCGGTCCAAGTATGACAGAATTTGCGATGTCTCCGTTATACAGCTTCATATCCAGCGGACAGGGATCCCAGGAATACGTCTTCGGAGGCATTTGCGCGGACCGCCTCGACCCCCGCTATTTACATGCTACACTTCGAGAATGGGCGATCATCGTCTTACTTCCGTCGCCGTCCCTTGACGTCGGAGGTCCGGTGGGGTGCCCGGTCCCGCTTCGGCTGCGGCGTCAGCCCCCTTTCACACAAGCCATCGCATGGGTGCAGGTCGGGCCGGGCAGAGTTCGGTCATTTCGCCCTCTGCCGATAGTGATTACCTACGAGTTGGAAGCTCACTCAATGCCACAATGGTCTCAGGTGGATATTCGACGGAGAACCGTCGCCGGTCGTGGGGAAACGCAGGAACTCACTCAGCTCGTGTAGCGCAAGATCATCCAAAATGGGGTCGTCTTTTTTACAATCCACAGGTCCACCACTATCCATGGTCTGCTCCGCCAATGGTTCCCAATCGCCGCGTCTTCTCGTTCCTGAATCGGCAAGCGCATAAGTCGTCTAAGCGGTGTCTTGCAACACCGCTGAAGCAGGTTATTGATGGACTAGGCTCCAAGAGCCAGCAAGCGTGGTGGCAACGAGCAGCTCTCGCTGTATCGCCGGGTCATCTATGGGGTCACGGACACGCGGTGACGGAATATCAGCTCTGTACACGGTATTGCCACGCTACCGGTCAGCTAAACTGTTGGTATCAGGACCGGCGTCCGGACGGGACTTGCACGTATCGAGAATGTGTCGGACAGAAGGAGAACCAGGAGCATCTTCTCTGGGGATGTCCTCGTGCTCAAGAACTTTGGGCCCGGCTCATCAATCATTGGGAAAGCACACCCCGTAAGCCTTGACACATACTGGAATGGCTCGAGTACTGCGCAACCGTAGCGTACCCCGCCTTTCACCGCGGGTTACAGCAATGCTGGTAGCTTGCTACCCCAACGACATCGATCAATTCGCCACGGCCTGGAAGACGATATCGGAGGTCGCAGGGACCGTCATCATCACAATGCTCTGGAAACACCGCCTGGACTGCATTTTTTACAATGCGGATATCCCAATGCAATCCAGTAAAGCCTTGATTTGGAACAGGATGCAGCTCCAACTGCGAGCGCTCATTTAACGCCTCCATTGCAATGAGAAAGTGAGACGATTACTGTCTTGCTCTTTTGCTTCTCAAACGGTTGGATGTACGACCAAAACACCTGTAAACCACGCTTTGAATAAGTGATTTTTTTCTGACGCTATGACAGCTAAAACATTATCTGCGACATAATAGATGAGTTGCCAAATTTTCAATAAATCCAGCCTGCTCTTTTTGCTGATGGCGTACCGTCCCACATTCACAAAACCGAGACGAAAGTAAAGAACAGTTCACTTTCGTAGTTTGGTGCAAAATGCAAAGTGATTGATTTAGGTCCTTAGTTCACAAGCTACTTGCTACCTCTAAGCCTATTGTCCTACCTACTGGATACACTCTACTGGATTCTTTACTGGATACTGAGTTACTTCAGCCAATCAGCGAGTGCCACGTAGATCCCATCATGTACCCACAATCTTGTACCCACGTGTGGCGTAAACATTGTCCCATAATCACAGGAATGATTGCGGTATTACTGAGTGAAGGTCATACCGGTATCTGCCGGTATTCCGCAGCTGGTCGAGGCGTCTTCTTGACAACAGAAAGGAGGCAAAAGTATTGAAGCCTGCAATGGTTTCGATCATTTGCGACAGTGATAACATATGTAGAGAGAGAACAGAAGGTGTATTTACTGTTTAGTTTAAAAACATTGGTAGGTTGTTAACCACACTATTAACGCTGGAGGGTCCAGACATTTCCCACGGCTGGCTACCTGGCTATGAAGGCCGGGCTGACATCTCGGTTCTGATATTATTATGTCGTAACATTCAGAAAGTTGGGCACCTTGCACGGCCGTGTCAGCCCTGACCTCTCCAATGACACAGTCCTATTATACTCACTACTAGTCAAACAATGGTTACGGTTTGCAAGATGCTTTTCGGCTTGACGGCCGTGGTAATGGCAAGCGCCTTACCCACTAACTTCGCAGAGCAACCATATCGTCAGCTGCTGGAAGATCCTCATCGTCTTCTGCTCGAGGAAAAGTACTGTACAAATTCTAATTGCTATTTATACGGGGGTAATCCGATTGGTTTTTGTAATGATAAATGCAGCAAGAGTAAAGATCGTTTGGCATGCACGGACAATTGTATGTGTAATTCTCACGGAAAGGCGTGCTTTTGAAGGAAATGGCTTTACATGAAGACCATGACGTGCGATGCCGCGCCTCAAAGAAGTCCTGTAGATACTGGGAGTTACTGGAAACAAAGGACTTCACGGTTGAAGAAATTTAATCGACCTTTTCAAATCGAACACAACATGAGAACGCTGTAAAGGAGACGTCTCGAACAGCAAAAGAGTCAGTGGTGGATACCGGTACGTATCGGTCAATATCGGTAATGATGTCATGCGGTGACGTCATCAGTGACGTCAGTAGCTTCTAGAAGGTTCTATGGCTATGATTGGCTAACAGTAATGGGTGGCTTAGAGGTAGCAATAGATTTGCGAACTAAGTCATGTTTACTTTGCAATTTGCCAACTAGTGCTTACTTGACCTTTTTATCAGTGATGACAACAAATCTGCAAGAAACATTTATTGTAGTTGTTGAATAAATATAAGTTTGCTTGCTCTTTTCCTTTAAATATCTTGTTTATCATATTGTATACTCGTTTGCTAGACTGTTCTGTTGAACATTGTAATATTGCCTACTCCGATTTAATTTATATTGCCCGTAATTTATCACACGGGTTGCGGTTGCACGAATAAAAAGAAGCAACATGTCATCATTCATTTTCATAGATGACAACTCCCATACCTGCAAGGACAGGAAAGAGAGCACCTTTACGAGCCTCTACTGTGTGCCGAATAAAAGCTCTCAGCAGCCTTTGCTCGTGTTTGGATGGGATGTTACCTGATAATTTGCGTAACAACAGCAACATGTTTGAGCAACATTGTATGTACTGAATTGAGATATGATTAATTCAGTACATAATGGGAATATAACACATTGAATCATTATTATTATTACAGTTCTCCAGCAAAAGAACCGCCTGCAGATGGAGAAAAATTTATACGTTTTGGTCTCAATTACCTCTTTGAAACACTGAAGCAGCATAAGGATTGGTATGCACGCAACTACAATTTGTACAGCTGCGGAAGGATGTCAAGCGTTTTGAAAATCATGTAGCTACTCTACAATCGATTCTAGCCGAAAGTGTTAGCAAACTTAACTTAGAAGCGGGGCTACGTAGTGCTGAGCTAGAAAAACATGTTGAAGCCTGAAAGATCATGTTTGAGGTCACTAAAATCGTGTCAAACCTCAGTCGTCCACTGGTTAAGCTGCCGATCCTCAAACCCAACGAGTCGTCATTGTCTATCTACTGTGACACCTTTGTACTGGATATTGTGCTGTCTGGTGGAGAGGTACGGCAGAGTTTGGAAACGGCTATAAAGTGAGATGAAAAGAGTCACTGTGTGAGCTTTTGCGTGGATAGGGTGCGGTCGAGTCCGCGTCGCTGACCACGGTAGATAAAGATGACGACAGCGTTGGATGATGTCGAATGCATATACCAGTCCTATGTAGATGTTTTCGATATTCTTTCTTGTAACCGACCAATCCTGTAGCCGAGCTATTGTAGCCAAGCTTCTTATGCAATATATGCCGAGGAAGACAAGCTTAGAGAGCTTTTACGTCTTTGGGTACTTAAAACTTCCTAGTCTAACTCGTAAGCTTGTGCCTATCGGTTGTTACAACCGGATCTCAAAGAGATTAGTATCAAAGATACAATTCCTCAGGAAAAATCTAAAGCTCAAGCAATGATGCTTATAGAGCAGGTTTGAAACTTCTTCATATTTATGTTTATCTTCTAACACTAAATATAGAAGCACCTCCTTTATACTTAGTGCTAGTCACTATTTATTGACTCTATAGCCTGTTATTATTATGCAAACATACATAGTCACTATACTTTAAATAAGTATAGTGACCACGTGGCTCTCTGCCACGATGTGACCCTTTGTACTGCAGGTACGGTCACATCAAGCCCCAAGGTACAGCCACACCACATTAGTGTGGTAGGTATGTATGTACAATACACACCTCCGTGTAACCCCGTTACACCCTCCCCCACCAATCTGTGGGACCCAACGTACCCATGATTTTTCGCACTTAATGGGAGTAATCGATCATTTTCTTCCCATTTTGCTGACCTCGCAATAAGTGCTTGCACTTGCTAACAAAGCGTTAGTGTTTTTAACACTTGCTACTTGAGCACCTGTGCTTTGCACACACGCTTTCTAAGCATTCTAGTGTTACGACACTCGCTCTTTGAGCATACAGTGCATTGCACCCACACTAAAGCATTCAGTGTTACAACACTTGCTTATGAGCGTTAAGTGCCAAGCACTTGGTATTATTAATACCCTTTTTGTGTTTAGGAACACTTGCTTTATAAAAGCACTTGTCCCAATGCGCTTACTCCTGCATGGGTAACGCAATGCGTCGTGACATCTTTGGAAAAGATGACAGCGACGTTGCCTCTAAGGGTAGCGGTGCCAAGTCTCCTTCAGGTCATAGTACCCCAAGATCACCACGCTCACCGAGCGAGGGACGCCGATCATTCTGTGTCTTCTCCTCCAAGGGAGACAATCCCATTGTGCCAAGCGCCACCACTTCCCTCGCGAAAGGGTACCGACAAAGAGGTAACAAATCATCTTGACGCTGCACAGCGTCGTCAACTTGATGACGAGGCCCAGGCGGCCGCCTTGGCACATCCCAAACAAACCTTTTCACGTCGTGATTATGGGTTCGTGCCTCGACACCCCAATGAGGAAGCTCGACGAGCTGCATCGCAATCTTTGCGTACCTATGTCATTGGCTCCCATGCCCGCACGGCTTGCGAGGATGTGGATAGTGTTGCTCTTTGTAAGCGGCTCCTTACTCCCCTGAAGTTTACAATCAATCGTATCAGGAGCGCCTGTCACGACAGTCACGTGCGGTTCCCGTGCACCTACTGAACGGAATACCAGTGGTGCTTGCACCAGGTGAAACATCTGCACAAGATGATCACCAGTTCACCACGTTGGGTTGAACGAGCATGTAAGCTTTCAAATCTTTATAACTTGCGCTTAGCGCTAAAGAACAAGACGTTTGGCTAGAACGTCGTCTGCGTTTTAACTTTGCAAAGATTAAAGATAAGCGCTAATTATCTTCCACGTATAAGTCCAAGGCTTTTGGAAGTTCTGCTTCTGAAGCTGTTGCCTGTACCTCTCACACAAGTGATGTACCGGTGGCTGCTTCTG